TATAAGTAAGCTGGAACCGAACTGAACTGAACAGCAAGCAGCTCAGCCAGCCTGTTTTTATAGGCAGCCGGCTGTCAACACTGTAACACTGTTTCCCGCCTAAATTGACTGATGTGGACCTGAGTGAAAACTATATACACGATACCCCTGGTGGCCAGGGTGAGAACTTCAACACATAACAATACCCAAGGAAATGGATCAAAATCCTTTCCCACATGCCAGGCTCCCTATTTTCTCAGGTGATGCAGAAAAAGTTCCCTCAGAGCTGGTTCAAGACATTTTGCCGCCTGAGGCGAAGCAGGAATTGCTCCCCAAGTCAGGGTGTGTCGCATCCAAGACCAGGCAATATAGTTCGGCACCTGAGGCAAAAAAACAAAACCCACCTCTCCCTTCCTCTGAGAGTAAAATAAAATAATAATAATAATAATAATAATAATAATAATAATGAAACAACCAAACATTTGCTGCTCTTTCACGACAACTGTGTTTTATTCCTGAAAGTAGACAATTTAAAACCACTAACGGTGCAAGGTTGCAGGGGAAGGTTTTCCAGGATCAGCACCCACTGAAAAAAAGTTACTGCGACTTCTGGTGCTTTGTGGGGTAGAGGGTGAGATTGTTTAGCTACAAATAAGTAAGTTGAGCAGTGAGGAGACAGCAGACACTCAGGCAGTCTAAAGAGCCAGTCCTAAAGCAGTATTAATTCCAAAAGCAATCATTTTCCCATTTGCTTCCCTTTCCCACGGCTGCTTCCAACCAGCCAGCTACAGATCTTGGGCTCGTCCTTTATGTGTTTTCCCAGCTCTGCATAAGTGGATGATGCGGTGTCCATACAAATCCCAGTGCAGTAGCCACCAGCTATCAATGGCCATTAAGCAAGGACATCTTGCCATCCATCTGCACAAAAGCATCAAGAGAGGGTGACTCTGCAAGACAGAATAGTATGCCCTATAAGCAGGGCTGGTTTTGAGACATTTGGGACAATTTGTCCTGGCACCCACTTATATCAAGGTAAGAGTAATATTTGGAAACCCCCACCCAAAAAAAGTGCAGCCTGCAGCAATGTGTCATACAAGACCTACATCCCTGATTTTCCCCAGTTCTGTGGTTAACGTGCAAAGTGGGGTGCAAAAATCTTTCCTACAGTGAGACCCCTGAATCCCATGTCTGTTCTTGCTTGAATAGCAGTTTATGGCTTTCCCTCCACCCTTTCCTCTTGCTTCTGCTGCAGTTCAAGGGAACTGGCATCTAGCACCAAGTGTTCTTCCTTTTTAAAAAGATTTTTTATTAAGAATTTCCTGTAATACAGTAAAATTGCGACTGCTCCAAGTGTTCTTTTTGACAGGGACAAGAGACCAAGCTCTCATCAGCGGCTCCTTTTCTGGGTGGTGGATGGGGTCCTTTTGGTCTTCCCCTTGCAGCAATGCTCCTCCTGGGAATTTGGGGATCCAGCCTCATAGTGGCCTTTGATCCTGACGCCAGTGGCAGAAGCCGGAGTGTGCTTTCACTCCAACTCATCAGCCCAAGGTCGTGCTCTCAATTACCGTATTTTTCGCTCTGTAAGACTCACTTTTTCCCTCCTAAAAAGTAAGGGGAAATGTGTGTGTCTTCTGGAGCGAATGCAGGCTGCACAGCTATCACAGAAGCCAGAACAGCAAGAGGGATTGCTGCTTTCACTGCACAGCGATCCCTCTTGCTGTTCTCGCTTCTGAGATTCAGAATATTTTTTTTCTTGTTTTCCTCCTCCAAAAACTAGGTGCGTCTTGTGGTCTGGGGCGTCTTGTAGAGCGAAAAATACGGTAGTTTTCTCTGCATCGTTTGTAACAAAGCTGGAGAACACTCCAGTGGACTGGAAGGATGAGGGTGTTGGAAAAAAAGAGAAGAAAAGAAATCCAGCAAAAAATAATAATAATTCATAACGTATTCTTACTAGGTTAAAAAAAAGACAACCAGTTTCCTAAAAGCAGTTCCCAACATAAAAAAGCTAGCATATCAGGGAGAAAGATTCCAGCCCAGTCCATTTGCTGCTGGGCTAGTTTTCTTCTTGCAATGATTATGATTATTATTAGTAGTAGTAGGGTTTCTCTTTATGATGAGGATGAATTTACATAGAGAACTATTAAAACAACAACAACAACTAGGATTCCTTACTATCAGTCTGGATTGGAACAGTCCTTTCTCACCTGTTCTGCTGTGTGGGTAGACCTGGCCACTTCTATAGGCAGGAGGGCAAGCTTTGGGAGATAATGTAATCCTATCCTTATGTTCACACAAGTTGTTTCATAACACCTGCCCTCCCCAAGCCCAACCTAGGTATAGAACAAGAGAACGCCAAGGCTAAACTCAACCTCTTCATTCTGTAAGCTAGTTGTTAATACATGGAAATACCGTATATATTTTTTGATAAAAAATATTTGTCTGGTTAGATACTTGGTTTATTTATTTAGTTAATACAAAACAATTTTTATACTGTTCTTGAAAACAGCAGAGACCACAAAAACGTATTACCACCCCCCACCCCAGAAATCAACAAATAAAACCAAAGGAAGACTAACGTTTAGTTGTCTAACGGTGCCCATGCAATGAACAAGAAAATCTGAAGGTTCCTAGAGAGAAAATCGCAGCCACATTGCCCCCTACTCCTATCCTGCTGCTGTCACACGGCTGTGAGCTAAGCCATGGTTTGGTTCAGCATTACATCTGAACGTGGGCTTATAGTTTATCTCACTCTGGCAAAACCATAATAAGCCTAAGCTTGTTCTATGGATAAGCTGTAGCTAAGGTTTATTCTATGGCTTACTGCTCATAGGTTGCCCGGGAGAGATAAACCATGAGCTTGGGTTTGAGAGTAACAGGAAGGCAAACCACGAGTGAAGTGGCTTTCTAGGAACCCACATCCTTACTCATTCATGCGAAGCCACGGTTTGGCTGAGCATTATGCACAAACTGGACTGGTGAGCATCATGGCTTAGTGGGGGGATTTGAACCCTGGTCTCTGAGACTCTGATCACTATATGGCATTGGCTTTCCATGCACTTAGCTACAAATCAACCATCATGTCAGGGAGGGAACTAATTATGACAAACTTTGGACAACGATTATAAACTTGGTTTATCTAATTTATAATGACAGGGAAGTAGCATTTATTTATAAATTTTGTAAACTTGATTAAATAAAAAAAAAAGCTCTCCAAGTGAAATTATAGATAAAAACACAGCTGAAATCCAGAAACCAGTTAAAAGCAAATTTACATAAAGCCATCATGGTGCAAAACAAAGATAAAACCTATAACCAACAAATCTGGGAACTAAATCATGTGTCTTGCTGATAGGCTTCCTGAAACAGAAAAAGTTTTCAGTAGGCTTCTAAAACAACGTACTGTAGTGAGGGGGCCTGTCTGGTATCAATGGGTAGCCATTTCCAAAGTACCAGTGCCGTCGCACTAAAAGATCGACTGCTCATAAATGCGACATGGACAGTATGTGGCACTTTAAAAGTGAAAGTTCCATAAGCCAAAGCAAGACAGCTGCTTAAGTAAACTGGTCCCAAGTCATTAAGGGCTTTAAATACCAAAGAGGAATAACACTGAGAACAGTCCAGTAACAAATCAGTAGCCAATGCAGATCGTTGCAAGGAAGTATAAAATGCTGGTAGGATCTTACTTCCTGATCAACTTCAAAGGAAGCCCCACATAGAGTGCATTGCAATAATCCGGTCTTGCGAGTTCCCAGTGCCTCCCGTGATCAAGTTATCCTGGTCCAGGAATAGTTGGACCAGCTGAAGATGGTGAAAGGCACTCCTAGTTGCTGAGGCCACTTGAGCCTCAAATGACAAAACATGGCACCCTCAGGAATAGAAATCACCCAGGCAACAGACCACTTTATCCAACACAAAATGTAAAGCAGTTTTAAACTACTGATTTGTGGCAACCTTGTGGCTAGTCAAAAGCTTTTCATTTGATGAATATGTAACCCCTGTAATAAGCCAAGTGTTGGAAGTGCCTTAAAAATGTGGAGACAACCGTACAGTGGATTTTCGCTTTAGCTAACGTGTTTTGGAGTCAAACTAATACCCAGATAGAAAGTTGTTTGGCATATTCTCTTTACCTAGAGACATTACTAGGTTTTAAAACCATCTATGTAAATGAGCTAATTCAGCTAAAGACACAGGGGGTTTTATTATATGTACCAGCCTCTGCTTTATATCGGATTTTTGGACTACAGTTCCCATCAGCCCCAAGGCAACACAGCAGCCTATATAATTGTGACTGTGAAGATACTGTATGCAAGATAATGGGGGCAATCTGTTGTATACTTCTTAAAGAGAGCTAGCTGCTTGAGGAGATGTGAAGTATGATCTGGCACTAATGTCAAATCTGGTCAGCTATGTGAAAGTAAGAGGGGGGCGGAATATGAAATGGTTGAGAGACCACTGCCATTTATTAATTTCTGGTTTGCAAACAGTAGATTTCCACATATGGGTGCTTCCTTAACTTGGCTACTATTTGTGGTGCATCCGTTTTTCTGCATTATTGTTCCAGCAATTCTTTTTAAAAACAAAAGGGTAACAGTTTTTAAATCTAACATACATTTTAACCAACACAGGTATTACATTTCAACCACAGAACCAGGAAATGCAATCCATTTAAATCAAATTTAAGCAAAACACCTGAAAACAGCCCAGGTCACTGAAACTCGCATTCCGCAGGAGGGGGACGAAAGGAAGTTCCCATTGCACAAATAGGGTTAGCTGTGAAAAAGTAATGATTGGAGTCCTGCTAACTAAAATCTTGGATTTTTTCCCCCAAGCACATTATGAAGATCAGAGCCCATTACTCTATTTACTCATCGACCCACAGGATATATCTTTTTTTTAAAAAAAATTACTCCCCTTTCTCAATTTGCGTTAATGGCCACACCTTTAATTCCATCGGAGGAATTTCCCCAAACTTCCTATAAATACCCCTAATGGCTGAAGGATCTTTTCACACTCCCCTTTGGACACAGAAGCAGCCAAGCCTCTCCTGCTCCTGGTGTGTTCCTTCCCGGCAGAAGTACAGGCAAGCCGTCATCCGGCATCTCGAGAGGAGGAGGAAAAAAAAGTGGGAGGAGGTCCAGCGCAAAGAGATTCAAAGGCTTTTGAAGGATGAGCTCAGAACGAAGTAAGTAGAACTTTGGTCAGCCCGTTCTAGGCGCCTGGCGCAGAGGTCGAGCGAGCTGGTAAGTTGCACGCTTTGGGACAAGCGCAGCTGGATTTTGTTATTTATAAGGAGGGTAAATCTATTTAGCTGCTCCCTGTTTCATACATTTGTGGGGCGGCGGATGGGAAAGGAGGAAGGGTCTCAGGTTTAGCAGAAGAGTTCTCTCCCAACCCCCCAACTCTGCGTTACGCCCAAAATAGCAGATTTTCTTATGGAAAGGATGGTGGGCTGTTAGGTTTAAAGTGGTTAAGGTAAAACCAGCTTGGAGAGATTTTTGAAGGCTAATAAACCTTGGGCTTGTTCGTTTGTTTAGGTCTTTTCTCTGAGCAAGGGGCTGATTCCTGTTTTTAGTCTTAAAGGGGCAGGGAGACTACTCTTTCGCTCAGATTTCCCAGCCTCCCTATTTAATCCACGAGCTCCAGAAGGAAAGCCAAGTTCTTTCAAAAGTTATTCTCGGTTATATTTCGTATCGTTCCTCAAACGAGCTCGAAGGAGACACTTTTTAAGTTTCACAAGAGGTCCCTGTGACTTTTAGGAAAGGCTGAACAGCGTTAACCTCTGGAACTGCCTGCCGCATGATTCCCTGATCTTCACACTACTTTAGCAGTCCTTTTCGGGGTCTTGAATTTGCTTTCTAATTTACTTTCAAGTCTGCGAGTGGAGCTCTCGATCTCCCGGCAGATTGCAATAAAAACCGGCCAGGATTCACTCCGGGTTGCTTTAGCAAACAAACGACGGCAGCAAAACCCCACCCTAAATTGCACTGCAGAGCTGGGTCTTTGCGTGGAGGACTGCGAGCGCGGTTTAGTTTTGGTACTCGAAACAACTTCCAGGGGTGAGAGTTAAATTCTCAAGGTGCCTTCTTTTCCACCCGGCTCAGACTACTTATTGAAAACACAAGGACGCACACACCCCTCCGCACCCTCGCAAGCCTGAAGTCCGCCGCCTCTAGTAGCTAAAAAGTGATTTGCCACGGGCCACCCAATCGAGCCGAAACCACGCCCCGCGCGCAGGCGCGTCTCGGGGGCTGCCGCTTCCACGCCGCTTTTTAAAGCAAAGGGCGGCGGGCCAGAAACTTCGGAATCGGGATGTGTATAAGAGATAGTTTGATCTTCTGGGTGGGGTTGGGTCCCCCCCGCGACTCTTCCCATCTCTAACCCTTAACAGGAGCATAAACTAACGCGCCCAGTTCTGTTTTACGCTCGAGTAGGGACTTTTGGATTTTTTCCCACGCATCCTAAATGTGTGGAGGGGGGGATTTAAGACTTCTCCATGGGGCGGCGGCTTCTTATTTGAGAAAATAACTAGTGTATGCGCGAATTGCCAGACCCGCCTCCCCCACTAATGAATTTATTTGCAAAAAATAAAAAGCCGCCAAAATGGACTGAGCAAGGAGATGATTTACTGCGAGGAGAAGGGAGAACAAAAAATTCGGCAAAATTACCCGCTGTGGCCCGGCAGCAACACGTGGAAGCGGGAGTGCTTTAGCTACTTTCTCCGCCTGCCGGAAGATGAACGTGACCAAGGGGAGATCCCTCCAAAGGAACAAGATCCCTTCCTTTACACCTCTCTCCTATTTGTGCGTAATCAGCCGGTAGAGCATGAGACGCTTGATCTCGGGGTTGTGGGTGCGAGCCCCACGTTGGGCCAAAGATTCTGCGTTGCATGGGGTTGGACTAGATGACCCTGGTGGTCCCCTCCAGCTGTACAATTCTATGATCTAAATACTGTACAGGACTTCTCCCTCTCCTCCTTGCCTAGTGTGGACCAGCGCTTTGGGGACCGAACTCCAGTTAGAATGTAGGTTTGCGTTTTAATATTCTTGGAAGTATCAACCCATATTGGGCAGAATACTTGCTGTATCATGCTAGGCCAGCCAGCAAAAGCCTTTCCTTTTGTGTCTCTTAAGGTAAAGGTAAAGGGACCCCTGACCATTAGGTTCAGTCTTGACCGACTCTGGGGTTGCGGCGCTCATCTCGCTTTATTGGCCGAGGGAGCCGGCGTACAGCTTCCGGGTCATGTGGCTAGCATGACTAAGCCGCTTCTGAACCAGAGCAGCACATGGAAATGCCGTTTACCTTCCCACCTATTTATCTACTTGCACTTTGATGTGCTTTCAAACTGCTAGGTTGGCAGGAGCAGGGACCGAGCAACGGGAGCTCACCCCGTCGCGGGGATTCGAACCGCCGACCTTCTGATTGGCAAGTCCTAGGCTCTGTGGTTTAACCCACAGCACCACCCGCGTCCCACTTTGTGTCTCTTACTATTGATTAAATTGAAAGCTTAAAATACAGGCCAGGGGGCTTGGAACTTCTCTGAGGGCCATGTTGGCACAGCCTTCCATCTTCCTTGTAGCTATGGCTCTGAGATGAGTAGTACATCTAGCTCCCCAGTTTTGTAACTGAAAGTGGGTGAGTGACCCTTGGATTAAAGATGGAAAATGAGTGTAAATTTATATTATTTTTTAAAAACCCATGTGTTTCTAAATCATGCTTTTCCTGAACTTCTTTGAAAGGTATTCCTTCCTGTCATGTAGGAAGATGAAATGCCCTTAAAAGTGGGAGTGGGAGTGGGAGTGGGAGCCTGGGAGATCTGACCTGCAGGATGCAGCCCACTGGGAAGTTCTCTTGTACAACCTCATGGAGCCAGTGATACTAGTGCTGGATTAATTTATATCAGTGAAACTATTCTTCCATTGTTCCACTGACTATATGACCTCATTCATTCTCTCTCTCCCTCCTCCAGGTGTTATTTTGCCCCTGATCAGCATTGCACTGTGGGGATTGATGTGCTCAGCTACACCCCTGCCAGAGACTTCCGGGTACCCAGACTCCGTCCTTGACAATTTGGAATTTGTGCTTAGAATTAGGAAGGATGTTGCTAAAATGAAGAATGATCTGGTGAGTTGTTGCGAGCAGAAGAGGAAAATGCTGGGCAAGGAATATTGCAGAGATGAAGGTGTACAGTTTGTCTAGAGCAGCCTTTTTCAACTTGGTGCCCTCTGGGTGTTTTGGAACTACAAATCCCATCAGCCCCATCCAAGTGTGGTCAGGGGTGATGGGTGCTGTAGCCGAACAACACTCAAAACCCAACAGGTTGGATTAGGCTGCTCACGATCAAAGCCTAAATCCACAGCTTATGCACACTGGCAGAAGCTGTAGGTTTAGGCAGCTATCTAAAAGGGATGTCTTGGTCAATGATACAAAAAACTTCCAGAGAAATCCTGAAGGACCAATTCCAGTTCTCGATATTACCCACCTTTTAAAAATGTGTCAACTCCTTGAAACTACCGCTGTGAATCTCAAAAGTACAAATATCGACTGATGATCCCCCCCAAATATTGTGCCAGGATGGGTTTGAGCAAAAGGTGGAGCCCAGTCCTGAAAAACTGCCTAATTTATCCTGTATATAACACACCTCCCCAGTAACATAACAACTTGGAAAGTGATTATGCCCTGACAGTTATTATTTTGCAGCTCTTGGCTTTGAACCACTGTAAACTCCAGTACAAATAACTTATTCCCATCGAGCTGAGTTCTCGGATAAACAAAATAGTTGGCAAGTTGTTCTGGTACGGGACTCCGTTCCCGGCATTTCCTTGAAATTGCAGCTTGCCCCGGAGACTTAACCTCATAGAGAGCGTAGCTTTCTCCCTTCTAGCGTTGTGGAAGTCTCTCCTGGCCCTGGCCCCATTTAATCTGAACAAATGGCATTGATCCTACCTTTCCCAGCATTTGTGAGGTTGTGCCAACCTGGAAAGGTCACCTTCCCTCAGTGACAAAAGGATAAAAATTGTTTGCAGACAGTGAATAAAGCTTTGGCATTCTCGTTGGCTTCCCTCAGAGGGCGGAGGGGCTAGTTTGACTAGATCTGTCAAATTATCGTAAAAATGCATTTAATCCTCCTCTTATCCAAGCCTAACTTAAACCGGAAGAAAAATCACGCTGTGATGAATGCCAATATTTGCTGCTCAGTCTGCCACCCTTTGGCTAGAATCAGATTCTTTGGTTTGGGTTTTGGGTGTGTGACATTTGTGTGTTGGTGCTTTCAGTAGTTTCAGTGTGGCATAATTTACTCCAATTTTGTTATGAAAAAAGGCAGAGGTTTCTGCAGGTCTCTTTCCAAACACTAGAAATAGTATTCATCAGTCTCTTCCTCTGACTTCTGAGAGTTCATGCACTTGAGAGCATAACTTAGCTTCCTATCATAAGGACTGGAAACTTGGTGGTTTGCAAACGCTGCCCTCATAAGTTATAACCATTCTGCACTACTGTAGTGTTCCTATAGAATTCACACCTCTCTTTATTCTATGAAATAATTTACTGCTGCATTCCAAGTGATCCCATAGATGTTGATCTGTCTATTGACATGTAGTCCTTTACTATGGACTCCTTATTCAAGTGAAGGCACTAAATAACAGGGCACATTAGGTTCTTGTGAGAGCAGGGCAGAGACAAGATCTTGCATTAACAGAATGAGTAGATAAGGTTTCTGTACTCTTACGAACTACAAGGCTGGGTGGTGGGCAGCAAGTATTGGGGAGCCCTTGCCTTCCTGGTAGTATCACCAATTCCTTTTTAAAGTACTGTAAAATAGACAGGTGGTGGGAGCTCATGGGGTTGCCAGTAGGGAGCAAGCAAGCTATATATCTATATTGGCTACTGGGGCCTTTGTCTCTTCTGACCTCAACTCCTTGTTTCTCCCTCCGCCTGCTGCCCACAGCGTAAAGAATTCAGGCTTGGCAGTGACAACGAACTGCAACTGGTGCAGGAAATCCTGCGCATTGAGCAAGTTGATTATTCCCATTGTCGGAAAGACCTCTGTAACAAGGTATGTAGAAGCCACCGTCCGGTAACAAGCCCTAAGCAGTTATATTTCCCGTTCCTGTTAACGTGCAATTATATTTCCCGCCTGTTCCCACTGCCCCAGAAAGTTCCAGGTGGGAAAACAACAACAATTCAATAAGGTAGGAGGGAGCTTTGCAATATCTGTTTACAAATAATGCAGGCAGCAACAGGTGGAAGGAAGCCAGAACCAAAAGGAGTGTTGGGTCCTCAAAGAAGTGAGCGAGCGGCTTCCTGCCTGCCTACCAGCTTTGGAAACTTCTTGCCAGGCTCCACACCTCCAGCTTCTTCCCACATTTATTTCTCATGCCCGCTAAGAGAAACAGCAAGTGTCTGTCATTTCACCATTTTTCTTTTAGCTATAAAGCTGTAGGGAAATGCTTAGAGAACTGAGGCCATTTCATTTGGGGGACAAAATGATAGCACAGCTATAACATGGACAATGGCCAGTTTGTGACACCCTCTGTGAGCCCCATCCTTGAGTGAGCCTGCCTCCTCGTTGCAATAGGTCTAGGGGGCTCTTGCTAATGCCCCCCACCTTGCTTTGGGTGTGGTCCTTCAGCAAATGCCTGACTGTGCCTCCAATGCAAGGAGATGTGTGTGTGGATGAGCAGGGTCTGTGGCAATAATTCTATGTGTTTTGCATGCCTTACCCTTTATTCATGTCAAAATCTTGGTTAAGATTGGCAGTCCACGCCGGATGTAGTAGTTGCCTGGCCGACTGCCAAAAATACACTTTTGAGGGTTAAGGGGGAATTCCTGTTGGTAACCAAACCAGATGTCATCCATTTCCCCTGGTGCTGCAATCGTGACTCGGCGCGTTTGCAGGTTAAGCAATGAGCCAGCAAAGTAAAGGATTCTGAGTGGATAAGATTAGTTATGTACTTAACAGAAGGGCTTGCTCATGAGAAACAGAAGGATCTGCCTTTTCTGATTGCGAAAGGGTGGGGTTGGTGGGAACATAACTTTAGAAGAGGAAAGAATCTCAGGGGCATCTGGACAGCCACGTGAAAAACTGTAGCATTATGATTTCCAGGGGGTAGCTCTGTTTGTTGGAAGCAGTAAAGGGAGTTTTATGGCACACTTAAAATACGCTGTACTTTACTGATTTTGGACAAAATGGTTGTTATGTGGAGGGGAAGCTTTTTAGGTGTATTAAGATGGCAAGCTAGTCATGATGCTTTGCCAGGGTGGGGGCTCCTTCTCATTCTGAGCGTAGCACTGGACCTCTGCCCCCAAAGTCCAGCCCTGATGGCTTCGCTGCATTTATAATGGCGCAAGCTTTTGTGGATTAGAGCCCACTGCACCAGAATATCTAGCATTAGTATGTTCACTGATATATTGGACAACTTTATTACAAAGCAACTAGGAGCATTTTTTCTCCACTGGGCTACTGACTTATAGTGATGACTTCCCTCGCCACCCACACAATAAAATTGCTGGTTATAGGTGCAATCTTAGTTTTACACACACACACACACACACACACACACACACACACACACACATCGCTCTTCCAAAATTAATGCCTATGTGCCACATGGATTCTGTTTATATTCAATCCATGCTTTCTCTTTAGAACTACATATGCACATTCAGTTGAGCATGGACTATGAAATTGGCAGCAATCAGCAAATTAAAACAAATTACACTTTAAGGCTGGCTGTTAAAAATCACTAAGGCTAATATGTATCTAATCTAGAAGCCCTGCCCACTCATTACAAAGTTTGGTTATAGTTAACCAGTGGCAAAGGAAGAAGACTCCATACATGCTCAAATACCCAAATACTCTTCCCTGGGTCCCCTCCTAGCGCTCAAAATGAGTTCTGAGGCTGATCACTCAAATGAGGTTTGGTGAGGGGGTACCCTTTTCCAGGGGATATTCGGGCACACCTCTGTAACATGTTGTGTATTCAACTTCTCAAGAAGAGAGGAATATTACCAAATAGCCAATAAGATAAGAGCATGCAGAGAGAAAAAATCCCCTTCATGTTTTCTTAGCACACAGCAAATATTTCTTAACAATCTTATTGCTGCCGACCTGCTTGGCGAAAGCTTGAGCAATAACATAGATGTTGGACTCTATTCCTTTGTACGTAAGGAATGTCAATGTCTTGGCTTGCCTACTATGGGAAAACTTTTTCTCCTCTTGCCACTTCTTCTGAGGAACCCTCTTAATTTTCCCACCTTAAGTTAATATTTAAACCTGTAGCCTTTTTCCGCTTTGTTCTCTGGCAGGGGAAACTGAGCCTTCTCCTTTATACCAACTTGAACTGTTCATTTGTTCTTCTGCTCTCTCTCTCTCCACCACATATGATCAAACTGAGCCACTTCTAATATCTCATCTCACATGGTTTTACTTATACTCACAACACACCCTAAATTGGGTTGCTGTGTATAGTGTTTTAAGAGTTTAAACTGGTTTGAGAGGCATTGCTTTCAGTGATCCACATCAGGTGTGAAGAAATTTGTGTCCCTACTGAAATACAGCTCCCATCATCTCTGGCCATTGGCTGTGTTTGCTCTGGTTCATGGGAATTGTAGTTCCATAAAAGATCCTCATCAGTCTACCTGGAAGCACATTTCTGCCTTGCTGTAATGATCTTGCTCTGTTGTTGCAAAAATGGATTGACTGTATCTTAACTGCCCTGAGATTGAATGTCCTAAATAATTTAAACAAGCCCCCTTTTTAAAATACTGTCTACACTCTGGATGTGAAAAATGGTGGTCTCCAGCCTAAATGGGAACCAGGAAAAGTTGTGTGTGCGAGCGAGAGAGATCTATCCAGACAAAAGCTGTAACCCTTCTTCCCCACACTTAAATCTTGTTCTTGCAGGAGGATTGCTTCAACCAGATACAGACAGGCCTCAGCACCTACCAGCACAGCCTATCACACGTTGCCCAGATCCTGCCAAGTTTCTCTGAGAAAGTGACTGGCCTCCAGCTGGACCTCTCAAACCTCTCCACCAACATCCACCGGCAGGTGAGAAGCTGGCTTACTACTTGCTCAGCTTGGGCTGAGGGAGGGGGCAGAACAGGTGGGCAGGAGGTGAGAAGAAGCCCTTGCATGCTTGCACCAAGTTCTGTGGGAGCAGGAATATCCGTAGCCATTTTAGCAGGGTCTGTTGTCTGCACTTCATAGTTGCTTCCCCTCCTGGAAGAGTGGTGATGCCCCTAGTGCTGGCTGCAGTTGCACCAACCCAGATGCATATTCTGGCATGGCTTGTCTTGGCTGCTATTGTCTCGGTGTCTGTTCCACTGAATTCCATGGGCAACACAGAGACAGAATATGGAAGACTAACTGCAGATGAAGACTGTTTCTGAGACAGGCGGCTCATCCCCTCTGCTTCCCTTGGCCTCCTTCCTTCTTGATTTCTTTTGGAACATACTGATTAGCATGTCAGGGTATTAATAATACCTCTAGCTGTCATTGTGTCCTTTCTTCAAGGAACACATGATTGTTAAAGGGTGTAATTGTTTAGGGTAATTCCTGCTCATGGAAATTGATGATCCATAATCCCCTACTCCTTAAGACACAGCCCCAGGAACTTCAGTTCTTCTCCCCTTCTCAGTGTTCCCAATTTGCAGGCATGGGGAGCTTTGTAGCCCTGAAGATGCAATTCCCATTATCCTGGACCGCTTGCCATGCTGGCTGAGGCTGATGGGAATCCCACCCTGATCTAGAGTTCTCTATATTTAATGTTGCGAAGACTGGTACTCTGTATTTCAAGGAATGTTTGATCTCTCTATAGAAAGCTTCTTAGCTTCTCTAAGCTCTGGGGTTGCAAGGTGCAAAGGGGTACCAAGTTAGGCCATCCAGCTGTCAAGAAAAAATGATCCTCTAAGCACTTAGCAAACAGCTGCATTTCAATAACTTATGCGATTTCTCTTCTTCCCACCCCACTTTCTATCTCCCTGCTTCAGATACTTGAGAGTGTGGTGACCGCTGTCACCTTCCCCCAGGGAGAAACCCTGGACTTGCAAAATCAGAGAGCTATTGGAAGTTATCTTGTCGTCCGCAACCTTGAGAAATTCATGGAAGCGATTGCCCGGGCATTGAGGCATTGTTATTCATAATGTGAAGGGCTAGAGGATTCTCCCATAAGACCCTGGAGTGGAAGGGTCCTGTGCATCCTAAGGAGGACCTAATAGGTGATAACAAACTGAAACAAGAGGATGTACTTCTTCTGCCTGGACTCCTCCCAACCTACAGAATTCCAGCCTCCTAACTTTTTATTATTTATTTATTGTATTTATTGTAAAGTTTTAAAAGCCGTTTGTTATCATGCAAAAGCAAGAAAAACAAAAGGCACAAGAATATTTAAAGAAGCAGCAGAACACCAGACGCATCGTTTTTAAGAAGTCACTCTGTGCCCAGTTTGGTGTTCTGCTGCTATCAGCAGGAAGTGACTCTTGCTAACTGAACTAATCTTAATCTTTTTTATAATCAAAAGTCAAGTACAGTCCCACATTCTGATGTCTCTCCAAATTAATTGGTCAGCCTTCTCCATGTTTGGGCATTTAGCATTTCTGTTTGTGCCAAACTAAATTCCTTGGGGGTTTTTTAAACTAGCCTTTTTAAGAGACTGATGCAGGACATCTTTAGCAATCGGGTGTTGTTGTTGTTTTTATCATAGTGTTGACATGAGACTCCTGCAACAACTCCAACTATTGCTATCCTCCAGATGTTGGACTCCAGTTCCCATCAGCCCCAGCTAGCATGACCAATGCTCAGGGATGATGGGAACTGAAGTCAATCCAAGACATTGGCTACTTCTGGAATTGGCTCATCTCAAGCATTTCGTAGAATTACAATTTTGGATTTGGCTTTTAATGAAATGTATTCTTCCTGCGATGCCAACTTGACATTTGTATGGAAAGATCTTGTTTGCTTTGCTGGATTTCTAGTGAAATATCCTTAAGAATCAATTCCTACAACTGCGTGTTTTTAATTTATTGTGCTTATTTATTTTATTTTTTTATTTATTGTATCTTAAAAACAACAAATGTTCTGCATCTTAAAATTTGCCCTCAGAGCTTTAGTCATTTCTCTGGTATTAAGAGTATTTATTACTTATTTAATATTTATACCGATAACTGTCAGATTAACTGTTTGATAAGAACCTTTGTTTATCAAAGGCAAGGGAGTTTCAGCAAGTTTTACGTGTGCATCTTGCAACACTTACAGCCTTGCTGTGGTGCACATGTCAAGATGTATGCAATGTTAAATCACTGTTTAATATTTAAACATTAAGAGTACTGGCTATTGGTAGTCGGACCAAACTGCAGGGGGGTGAACAACAGGAGTATCTAGTTCCCACCTCTGGCAGTCTCCTGGGTACATGCTGGGCTGTGCATCTTCTTGTACTTGTTATAGATAAGTAACACTGAATATGAACCATAAGCACACATACCTATTGTTGGAGCAGCACCAGTAGATGATAATTCTGAAACTGCTATGAACAGTTGCTGTATAATCAATGGATCCCTGATTTGGCCAGGGGCTGCCATCTAAATTTCCCACAATCTTCGTGTTGGCGGTATTGTAAGAAACTAAAATGGCAGCTAGACTCCGCTGCCTGGTGAATCATGTAGTACTGGGCCGTAAAATAAAGTTAACACAAACATATGTGCATCAGCCCTTGCAGTTGCATGAAGCAACCCACTTCACCCTGTTGAATGGTAGGGCTGGTCCTGCCTTCACACCACTGATGGGGAACCTGTGGCCAGTTACAGGCTGCTGGACTCCAGCTCCCATCAGCCCCAGCAACTGTAGTCAATAGTCGGGGATGATGGGAGCTGTAGTCCATTAAACCTCTGGAGAGCCATATGTTTCCCCACTCCTGCTTTAGACAGAGAGATGTATCTAGAAACCAAAGCATTAATTGCTCATTTGCTATCTGATTTATTCCTGTAATATTCTATGCTAGAGGATGTTTTGTTTTTACTGAGGTTTTTAATAAATGTTAACTTATGATTGTAAACTGTTTTTGTTATTTAAATGAATTTGTTTTACACCAACGTAGATCATCGATCTGTGCAGAATTCCATTTTGTATTTTGTTTAAAATTGCTTTGCAGTTTGCTAGAGAGGTACAAAGCTGCTTGTAGATTTTGGTCCGCCACCAATGCTAACTGTTTTTTCCTTCAAAACTGGACCAGAACTCTTGCTAGCTTCACATTCTTCCATTACAAGCCTCTGCAACAGAAGGCAGCTGGAATGATATGACTTGTAAATGTCATGAGGTGATAAAGAAATATCTGGAATTTGGCTAAGAGCCTAAGCTCAGCTGAAGCATTCCAAAGCATTTATTTTTGAAGCTGTTTAGATTTTCTGTCGCATCACTGTAGTTGTGCTTTCATTGTAACTGTAAACTGCACTGAACACCCCACACAATTAGAAAAGGCAGGATATAAATACCTATTTATTTGACAATGATGCTAAATGGAATGGACATGGTACTTTTAAATTTTATTTATATTTTTATTTTAAAAGGTAGAAATAATTGGTCACTGGGTCATTGATTAGTGCTTAATATTTCTATTTAGAGTCTCTCAATGCTTCCATTGTAATACCAATCAGGTTTTAATTCTGTTACTACTACTTCTGAAAATGAATTTTATTTATTTTATTTATTATGATATGATGTATGCAATTTCTGAGTAGAAATAAAAATTAACATTTGTTCAATCAAAAATGTGATGTTGAAGTTTATTAATGTGTTGAGACCCAACTGAAGCATGAGTGAAAGCAAATGAAGTATTGGAGTAACTAATTCATACGAGGCGGGGTATAAGTTGGGGGAGCTGAGATGTCCCCAGTTAAAAAGTGACATTGTTCACATGCCAAAGACAGGTCTTATGTCTAGTTTCCCCATCTGTAACCTAGGAATAATCATAGGCCACCTTATCGTGAAAAGAACTGCGATGATGGATTGAATCCAAAGCCTGGAATTCTACATCCACATGCCTGTGAGAGCTACTGGACTCGATAGGATTTACATCTGGGCAGAAATGTTTTGAAATACACTATCAGATGTTCTTGGGTCCCACTGAAGTCAATGTGAAAATTAAATCACAACTAATTGAAAATGCATAGATTTCAGTGGAATTGTGACTAACAATGCAGTATAACCCGGTATATAATCTATTCAGAAGTAATAATCTCATTTTTCCTTCATTCTTCTTTTCCTGTCACCCTTATTCTGTGCCCATTTGGTTCTCCCTGGGAAGTTTGGGAACCCTCTCCATTCATTTAGGGTTTGAGTTTTTTTGTTTTTTGCTAAAGGGTGGTGTTTTGTTTTTTGGTACTACTACAAATCTCAGGCTTAGACTGCTACTACTTCCCTTTTCTATGTAGGTGGTGCTGTTTTGGCTAAGCTGGTATGAGCAAGTGAAGACTTAAAACTGGAAACAAAAGGAATCATTATCCATTACTCTGTAGAGAGTAATGCCCCATGAGAGGCTGACAAGGCATCAGATATTTTGTTTAGTGGGTTGAGGGCAGAAATGGGGGGGGGGGGGTTGGGGGGTTTGAAACTAAGGCAAGGCAGGGACATTTTCTGAAGAAGCAAAGCAAGGGGCTCATTTTTCAGCCTGAGGGTCGTGTTTCCCCAGGGGTAACCTTACAGGGGCCAAATGCTTGTGGTGAGCAGGGCCAGAGGCAAAAAGGAGGTGTTGCCAGTGTTATAAGGGGGGGAAAAACTCCTTTTCCCTTATGGGGTATCCAAGAGCCCGTACAGTGGTACCTCAGGTTACAGACGCTTCAGGTTACAGACTCCACTAACCCAGAAATAGTACCTCAGGTTAAGAACTTTACCTCAGGATGAGAACAGAAATCACACAGCAGCAGTGAGAGGCCCCATTAACTAAATTGGTACCTCAGGTTAAGAATGGTTTCAGGTTAAGAACGGACCTCCAGAACGAATTAAGTTCTTAACCAGAGTTACCACTGTATAGAGTCCTTAAGTGGGTTCCCTATTGGTAGGAGAAAATAACAGAGGCCAGCCAGAGAATATTGAGAAGCAAAGCAGCTAGTAAGCCTGATCTTTAATGCAATAGAAAAGTACTGTTGCAACAGGGTCCCCACTCCCCACACACAGGAGGGAGAGAACCCAGATCAGTGGTGCACAAGCCCTTACATAGACTTTGGAAAGTGCCCCCCTGTAGCTCAAGACCACCCCGAAAAACATCATACATACATCACAGAAGGAGGCAGTCTACAGCAGAAATGCATCACAGGAGGCGGTCTACAGCAGAAATCCTGTCTGCCAGGACACCTGATACCGGTCACTGACTGCTTTACCTGGGCAGTCTGGCCATTCTTTTGTGATGGTTAATAGTTTAGTTCCTGAATCCAGGTCACAGACTCACCCTATTCATACACAAATAAGCCCTTGAGACAGGATTTGTAAGCAAACAACAATGGGGAGGCTTTCCTATTTCCTTTCTCCTTGCAGAGAAATATTTGAGGTCACTGGGAGAGTCAAAATGGCGTTAGGATTGCTCTCCTGTACTATTTCAGACACGTGGTTTATATACTTATGTATGTGTTTGCCTTGTACATTTATGAACATTTAATTTATATCTGAGACCTTAGAATTCTTATAACACCAGAGGCAAAAGTGAGCAGAGAAACGGATGCAACTCTGACCTTTGTACCAAAGTCAACATTCCAGTTACACAAAAGCAGTAAGTTTCTATGCACACCCTACACATATCTCGCTATACAGGAAACCCAGAGGCATTGTCACAGTCGAACACTTTCTAGCTAGGCAAAAGTGCCTCAGGGATGTGTAGGCATGATCCCGTGAGTGGCTGTGGCCTGAGGAGGCTGTTCTCAGGCTTTGCTGAATTGGCTTTATCCTGTGAGCTGGTCTTCTGTGTTTTATTTTGCCCTTATATGGCTTTATGCTGGGAAGCAGTCTATAAATTTGTACACAATTAATATGAAAAATAAACAGAGAGGCCTAGAGGGCTACACTGGGCCCTCAGGTTTGAGGCGTCTTACCCCTGCCATAAAGGTCCCCTTGAAGACGATGCAAAATATGCCCTCAGAGGAAGGGATTGCCACCATGTGGTTAAAGCACATTTATACTACTATAGCAGTCATGGCTGGGAACTGTAGATTAAGGGTGCTGGGGGTTGTAGCTCTGTGAGGTGTAAACTACAGGACCCGAGATCCTTGAGGGGGAAATTATGACTGTCAAAGTTTTAAATGTATGGTGTGGATGTGGCTGATACCAAAGGAGTGGCACATAACAAGCCACGTCCCTTTTTTCTCTCTAGTTTGTAGTACTGTAGTAAATATAATTTAGGCTGTGTACATGCCATAAATCCATTTAATTATTAGATTTATATTTTCCTCCTTCCCTCTCAAAGGAGCCCAGGGCCGCCAACTGATCCACAATTCCAAAGCGAAAACATTCTAAAACAATTACATTTAAAGGCATTAAAAACAGTGACCGCTATTCCTTCTGGCAATCCCGGGATTGCCAGGAAACCAAATTCTTCAGTTACCATATGCCTAGGTAAATTTAAAGAGCACTGCCTCAAAAGAATTGTGGGAACTATAGTTTGTTCCTCACAATTCCCAGCACGCTTAGAGAGAGCTACAGTTCCCAGGGTTCTTTGTGAGGGTGGATGGGGATGTACTTTATTTTGGTTCTTCAAGTTGTGTTTGGAACATACCAAATATATGAAGGGGCACTATTAAAAAGGTGTGGCTGAAGAGAAGATGGCTGCAGGGCCAAGGATGTTTATTATCATTATTATTATTATTATTACTGCTGCTGCTACTAAATTTATTACCCACCCTTCACAAGCAGGTCCCAAGGCGGGTAACAACAATATAAAATTCAGAATTAAAACCAGTTAAAATAGAATTGTCAATATTTTTTCTCCCTACACATGGCCCTCATTTGATGGCTAACATAAAACGTGACAGAAGAATCACTAGGCTGAGAAGCAGGGCTGGCCCAAAACATTTTGCTGCCTGAAGACAAAATGGAACACACACCCCCACACACACACCCCTAAAGAGGCTGACTGGAGCAGCAGCTGCAGCTTTACCACACCTGAATGCAGTAAGCTAGCTTAGGGCAGGGACTCATCCCTGACCATTGGCCATGCTGGCTGGGGCTGATGGGAACTGGGAGTCCAGCAACTTTTTGAGGGTACCATGTTGGCTACTTCTGGCTAAAGAGATGCAGGGCAAGGCACTGTGGCACATGCCCCTCCCAACACCTCGCTGCCATTCCCCGTCCCCAGCACTTGCCATTTTAGGCAGCCACCTCACAACCACAGTTGTCTACATATGACAATGAACACACCCACAAGCTGCCTCTGTACATGTGCAAGTAGTTGTGTGAAAGGGTGCACGCCTGTTCGTTTGTACCACTCGGTTGTTGTGTACATTTGGTGAGAGTTACATGTGAAGATGGTACAGGCTCAATTATTTGCAGATTGTACACTGATTGTGAACTAACAGTCGATTCCTCAACTGTTAATAAACTGCAGAGAGAAATCAACTGTCAGGATAAGCTGAGCTGGGCTACCTTTCAGCAAACTACAGAAGAGAAAATGGGAATCCTCACATGAACACACCCTGCAACATTTTTTGAAGCTCCAGATAGTCAAGGCAAGAATAACAAGAAACACCTTCAAGTCACTCTCAGACATGTTCTAGACTAGCTGAACCTACTCTGAAGGCAAACAGAGTAGCACTTCCTGGGTGCTGAGTTATCAGCTGGATGGGTGCCAGGGCCATCTTGCTCCTTGAGGTGATGGGGCTGGTGTGGAATGCGTCCAGACTTAAACCTGAATTTGTCACACGCCTGAAATAGATTTCCAGCAACACATTTAGCACCACATGTAGCTACACCCCAATAACAGCAAAAGAGGAGGTGGTTCCACCCACAAACTTCTCCAGGTTTCCGATATAGTCATCTTAAAATCTTATTTACTTGATTTGAAGGGAGGAGGACCCATGACTCAGCTCTCCCACTGCTTTGTCTGCCGGCTTACAATCCCAGTTTCTGACTCTGACCACAGACCTCAAGTCACACAGACACCATACCTTTAAAGCACATCCCTCCCGCTCTCTGAATCCTGGGAACCAGGGCTGACCCAATATATTTTGCCACCTGAGGCAAATCAACTGTGGCAGCAGGCAAGCCCCCTGCCCAGATCTGGGTGCAGCTGAGCTGGTGGCCAAGAGTGGGAGAAGGGGCAGCAGCTGGGATACTGAGAATTGCGAGGAGGTCTATATTCCCTTCACAGACCTACAACTGTCAGTTTCCTGTAAGGAAGGATTGATTGGTACACCAGTCCTAGAACTGTAGCTCTGTGGGATGAATAGGGGCCTCCTAACAACTCTTAGCATCCTTAACAAACTGCAGCCCCCATAATTCTTTGTGGGGAAGCCACGACTGTTTAAAGTGGTATCATAGCACTTTAATTGTATGGTGTGGGAATGGCCTGGGCCTTTCAGAAGTGCAACACATTTGTGTATGGTTCCTGAGGCAAAGAAACTTTTGCACTAGGATTACTCAAACTCGGTCACAGGGTCAGATCTCTGTCGAAGCTTGTTGGTTCATACCTACTTTTCCACTTCCTGGGCAGCTTGCCATGACATATCAGCCCCAGACCAGAAAGTTTTCCAAAATTGCTACATTATTCGGTGGCACTTCCTGCTTGCTGTTTGCCTAGGTTGCAGGACCAGAGAGGTGCAGAAAACGAAAGGTTAAGAGCTTATTGTTGGAAGGTTAAGACCAAATACTGGAAAAACAGAAAGAAAGGGGGGGGGGAACAATAAGGAGAGTGGGAAAGCAAACAAGGAAAAAACCCTTAAAATGCAAAGCAGAAAGGGGAGATGGGGATGGGGAAACTTACTTGTTTCCAAACATCAGGATTTAGCATTATGTTGAATATCCTTAGTATGTAATCCAGACAGCTGTGCAGTTAAGCAATTTGGACTTTGGACTTAATCATCTTGGGGAGAGGCTCTTTACTTACGGCGGGTGCCTTTAAATGTTAACATGTACTACTTCACTCACTTCAACTGATTTTGAACCATCAAAAAAATAGCCCAAAAGGAGGATGTGTTCCGACTGTGTTGGGTCTGGCATTATTCTTATTTCAAGCTGCTGGCAATCTTTTCATCCTGACAGTGGTGCTTTCCGAGTTTTGTGGTTGGTCACAAATTATTTGAAGGGGCCAGTGGAATGTTTAAACTAATTGACTGTTATGAAGGAAGGAACAGGACTTTGGTTGAGGAGGCAAGGAAAGCTGGATTTCACAGATATGATCTAACATACAACCACTCTAGTGGGTTAGCAGAAGTTGAAAAGTTGGGTACTGTGAAGTTGTTCACTCTCCCTCATTCTTAGCTTCCTGCTTGAAATTTGGGCACCAAAATTTGGCACCAAAATGAGCATGACACCCCACCCTACTTTGAGGTCCCTCAGACATCTGTGGGATTCTTTGAAGTCATTCCTCATTGTTGCCAAATTTTGACTTGATGACGTATTCTGCTAGGCCAAGTTCTTAGAAAGTGAAAGGATTTCCTTCTGCTTTTCACACGTTCAGACAGATCACTGCAGAAATCACATTTTCCTAACCTCGGTTTTGACAAGCACATCAGCTTGACTTAGCTTCAACAGGCTGGGCCAAGGGAAGGAAAGTCTTGAGTTGCAAAATGTTGAGAAGCATCTGAAGCTACCAAGAAAAAGGACTGAACTTCTCAAGAGGAGAGCTTGGTTGCCCCACAAACCAACATTGCTTTCAGTTTGGGTCAACAGGTCAACCAGACAAGCTTACAACTCTGACCATGAATTTGGATAAAAAAAGCAGTTTTGGAAAATGTGTAAGTTTCACACTGGCTTGGAATACTCCTTAGTTATCCATTTCTATTTGTGTTGACTATTTGTCCCAACTTCATGAAATCTTGTACAGAGAGTCTGCACAATGACAGCTGTAAGATGGTAAAATTTTAAAATGTTTGGATTTTGAATGAGACAAGACATTTAAAGAGTTTTTGCTTGCAACTGTCACCTGTTTCTCCTCAGTTTGTGTGCGTCAATCATCTCTAGTTTTTCCTTTTGCTGGTTTAGAGTGTATCCAAATGCAAGGGAAATAAAACAGCTGCTGGACTTTCATATAATTTTGCCCCTGTATCTTCAATAAAAACATGCAATACACTATAGAAAAACAGAACTCAATATAACATAGTATCAGGTGCTACTTCTCTAATCTGAAAGCATACACTGTTCTGATTACAAAACAATAAACATGTCCCTGTTTTGAGATGTAGCTATTTTGGCAGCTGTTTGGATTTTCAAATTTGCTAATTTGCTGGGGGCGCATGCAGATACAGCCCACAGACTACTCACTTCTGCTGTTGGACCACTGCAATCTCTAACAGCAAGCTGGGGAGGGAGAGGGGCTGGTAGTTTGCTTCATTTGGGCTATGTTCTTTTCACATTCTTATCACACCGTCATGCTAGAGCCTAGGCTCTGCAGACGTACTTTCCGCATGCCAAAGGCCTCCATCATATTTCAACTCCCTAGATTTACAACTATGGCCTCTGTAGTCCCTTGCGCTACCAACGTCAATCAACTGCTGTCACAGGCAATAGACCTTGATCATCCCCTCCCTGGGCTGTGGGATTTATGGCCCACTCTTTCGTTTTGAAGAAGTCACTCCAACTCTAGGGGGTTACATAAGAATTGGACGACCACTCATGCTGCTATTTATATCTTGTTCACAGGAAATAAGAAGGGGGGGAAACAGACATAAGCACTCTCCAATACAGAGTGTAACCACTTTACTTTGAGTCACCCTGAGATTAATTTCATGCGTACTTGCTCCAGTGCAAATCCTGGCAACCAACAGTGTTCTGGACGATGATCTGGGGTCAGTTGTTGCTTCCTCATCCAGCCAAACAGGAAGGAAACACAACCCAGACTCCAAGAACAGCATCGACTCCAAATCCACTAGGGTCCCTTTTACAGGTTTCACCAAGCCAACCAGGCAAAAGGCTGACCACCCTACCGAGTTCAGATCACAATTCCCATTAAAATTTGTATGGACTACATATCAGCAGAGTCCAGTTTGCAGCGATTGGTTGGCAATCTCTTTCAGCCTAGCTGTGCGCTGGCTGTGTGCCTGTGTGTGATTGAGACATGGGGATGTTGCCATGCGCCAGCCAAACAAATAGTCCAGAATCTGATCGGAAGCCCTGCTCGTTCCCAGTTTTTCCTTTGCTGTCTTCTTTGTACATCACAGGCAATTCCCACAAGCATGGCTTGCAGGTGGTGAGGTTTCCTTACCTCATGCTTAGGTCTTGCTCGTGTCCAGAATGCCTCAGACTCTCTGGGGTTTCATGATTCATATTGGGAAACGCTTGACGCAAATGTGCAAGAGCTGCTATGACACCCAGGATATCCTGAATGAAACGGCTTTAGGAATACCTGTAAATTACACTCAGATATTACTGGATCCAATGGGAGATCAGGAAGGGCTTACTGAAGATCCTAGGAATTTCCCTAGCCCCCCTCCCTATAAGGTATCAGGGACTTCTGAACCACTAAACATATCATTAGACTAAGCCCCAAATAATATTTGGATCTCATACAGAAGGAAAGAGGGCGGGATGGGGAAAAGAGAATGCATGAGTGACTCTTCTTTCCATGCCTGTGGGTTATGTCCAGATTGATGATTTGGCATCTTAGCTGTGGGAACATGCGCAAGTTTTAGATGTGCATCCAGCTCAGGCTTGGTCTACACATGCAGCACAATGAGGAAGGAATGAGGTGGCAGAATGGATTGTATCACTTTAGACTGCAGGCTATATGGATGCATTCATATAGATAGGTAATATGTAGCTTTCATCGGTCCGTTTCAGGAGACAATGGAGGAGTGCGCCTTTGGGGGAGAGGTCAAGCTTTGGCAGGTTGCAGTGCCTGCCATGGCTGTAGAGAACATAACTAAATATTAGGCCCCCTGCAACATCTTTCTGCAGGCAAAGCAGCCGGAGTCCGATGCTTTGGACGTTAGCTGGAAGTGTCAGAATAAGTTTCATAAGATACTCTTTTCGGCCCTTCTGCACTGACACTGCTTTTAGCAAACAAATATTGGCTCAGGACAGGAATGGTACTTGTGGTGGGGAAGGAATTGTCACCCCATCCCTCAGGTTGGACAGCTCAGTGGGCAGGGGTCTTCATGCACCTTCACCAAGCAACTACAGCTTCATCCACTTGCTTGAATTTCCTGCCCATATTTCTTCTGTATGCACTTAATTAACCAGTTTTGATCTGGAGGCAAAACCGCTTCCTTACAGAACAGGGACAATTGAATTCCACCCCCACCAAATGAGCAAAGCCCATTCATCTCCAGGAATGGATTCTGGACAACTTTTCCCTCCACCCACAAGTTGCTTGAGGCTAGGTGGGAGTCTATCTGACATGGCTGCAGTTTTGCCAGGATGATGCCACCCTACAATGCATGCGGAGGTAGGGTGGGGCCAACGTCATCACAAAGCCTTACTGTTTTCGGCTTTGAGTTTCACCCAGCATGAAAATGGTTGGGTTCTAGATCAGCAACCCCACCACTTTCATTAGCAAACTGTCCCGGCTGTGTGGCATATAAGTGCATGACACAAAGCCTCTGGCGGAGTCTGTCGGTCAGACTCTTCTTCTCCAATTTGTAAGCCACCCAGCTCTCTGACATCCCATGTCCAACTTGCTAGAACTCAAACGCAATCTGCTACACATTGGGAGGCAGGTTCAAGCCATGTCACAAAGAAATCAACTGGTGGTCACAATAATCTTTACAGCTATCTCCTTAATGATCCTCACCAAGTCTTCCATGGTATATTGCAAGGAAACAATTCCAAAGGTAATTAAAAAAAACCTCACCACCCCTTGACCTTGTCACAAGAATCAGAAGGAATGCAGGATGAACTGCCTATTACTCATGTGTGCAATAAAATAAGACAAATGGTTTACAATCACATTGTGAGCAATCACATTCACAAATTCTGCAATTTCCAGGAAACCATAGGGGTTTAGTGGCACTTCCTCATGTACAGAAATCCTAGATCAGGAATGTAAAGGCAACCAATTTTAAGGCAAACATTTTTCCAGAAGGGTAACCAGGTTAGGCTGCTGTAGCAGAAAAATCAAAGTCTAGTAGCATCTTAAAGACTAACAAATTTAATACGGTATAAGATTTTTTCAATGGTAGGCTCCAGTTCACGAAAGCTTATGCCATAATAAAGCTAACAAAAGACTCCCTGTTAATTTTAACGTGCTGAGGGCTAAATAAAATGAGGTTGGGGGCCTTAGAACCTCTGCTCAATAGTCCGACACTATCCTATCTAAGCTCCTGGGATTCCAACCAAAAACGGCCTCCTTTTCAAAGCCTATTTTTGCATCCATAATGATTAGAAATTTGCTGAGATTCCCAGGATGTTCAGTTATGTGTGCAATCCCAAACTCTCTGCTTCCAAGGTATGATCATGGAACCAGGGGATAAACATAGCTCTGTGTTTCACCATATGAATTTATTAAGAGGGGACAAAAAGGATTCTTCCCAGTATTTATACAAAAAAGCAACTGAAATTGTCTAAACTTATATACACAAAGACAAGGAGGGGAAGCATGTAGGATTGTCAACATTCTCCTGTTTACTAAATTCAGCCTCTATATTCCCTGAAGAGGAAAATAGTGGTATAGAATAAAGTTATTTGATAAATAAAGATTACAAGATATTTACCTCTGTGCTAGCCAATCATATAAAACACTTACTGTACAAACTGGTTGCCCCAGACTAGGCTGGCTTTTTTCCATGCTGAAACATAATCGACCTAATTAGAAAATTGTTAAATGTAATTATAATGATGTCTTGATCAGAAACTTTTTAAATTTGTTTTTGTATTTTTTAGATTGACAATACATGTTATACATTGTTGAACTGCTATATTGTTGAAAATGAATAAAAACTCTCTCTCTCTCTATATATACACACACACACACACACACACACACACACACACACACACACACACATAAAATAATATAGCTGTTTTCATAATGATTTCTGTAACTTTTTTAAACATACTGCTAAAATATCAAAAACCATGGCACTTCTGAGACACCTTGTAATGGGATGTGCTGCTTGTAAATGTAGTTTCGTTCAAGTATTTGATTATTAAAGAGAAAAAGATACACCCAGGCATATATAAAACAAGACAAACAAAAGGGGGGGAGTATTAGCAAAAACTGATGGACACATTCAGATGTCACATGTGTGAGAAGTGGAAGTGTGGCTTGAAAGACTTGGAATGCCAAGGATCCTTGGAAAAGCTGGGATGGCAACCATGGGGACTCCAAACCAACTGGAAGGACACTCTTGAGATGCCTTGGAAACCGACTCAGGGGTCTGCCCCGGCGTATTTTCTCATCACAGCAATGCTCACTTCTGTAGAGCATGTACACAATTCAACGCACGCCACGTGGTAGCTTCCTTGGAACAGAGAGTGTTCTCCATTATCCCATCGGTGGGATTTTGACCTTAGGGTTCCCCATCTCACCCGCAGCAGGGCCCACGGGATGCTCATAAGGCAGCGATGGCTTTGGCTGCCACCCTGCGTCCCAGAGGCAAGCTGAGATCCGTGATGGCCAGCACAATTCTTGGGCTAGACATGGTGGATGCTTTCACCAACTCCGACACCTGCCCAGAAGTAAAGAAGGGGAAAGAGGTTAAGGAAGACATGTCAGTGGCAAGTAGATACTAGCAGAGTGAGCTCTGGGGTGTAGTGTAGGTTCCTCTTTAGCGACCCATTTCCCTCCATGGCAAAGCAACAACTCAAGAGAGCTTGTGGCACTGGTCCAGAAGCACTGCCTAGCCTGTGTCTCATACCGCGTGTAGGGGTGTTTATATTTATTTACTGCACTTGTAAATATTAGCAGACTTGGGCATGATTCATGGAATTGTAAGCCATAAATAGCTACAAAAGGTCAATAATTTTTTTTTATTGTCTTTCTGCCAAGGCATTCTGGGCAGTAAACAAATTTGAAATACAGGGGATAAGGAGAGTTACAAGAGAACAGCAGGCATATCTCAGGCTACTGGAAGTCTGTTCAGGAGCTGATGACCTAAACTCCCTGGCCTGGGCTTCTTCCTTTCTGCTTTTCCTCAAGGCATGAAAATCTTTAATTGGCCTTTACACAACCCTCTTTTCCCAGAGTCTTTTGGATGCTGAGGAAGCTGGAAATTCCAGGGTGGTGAGGGAGTAGATTTCCCCATGAGATCTTTTTCCCTTTAAGAAGAGGTTGATATTGAGAATTTATACCTTCTGGCCTAGGCACTCCCAGCATAGGATTAACAGTAGCTGAGGAGATACTGGAACCTTACCTGTTATGCTCAAAGTGGAATAACAGGTAAAGCAGAATAAATGACAACAGTTATTATTATTTTGTTCCTTTCAACAATTGTTCCCTCTCAACTGATTTTGAAAAGTCTGCAGGATTACATTCTACATCAACCCCAACATTCTGTAATGTGCAAACTCAATAAAGCTTTAAACATATAGTTTTACATGCACACAACAGACACCATCAAAAGCTGGGGACAATTCCCACCTTCATATTTCTGCAAAACTCACATCTCTAGTGCTTCTTCAAAGAGGAAGGTATGTGCATGTACAAGTCAAAGAAATGGATCAATTATGTTCCTTGAGTACATTTTCTCTCAACCTATGATATGTGTTTAATGGTACATTCCTATGCAAGCTTAATCAGCAGTTAAGTCCCACTGTGTTCAATGGGCTTTACACCAAGTAATTGTACACAGGATTGCAGCTTAGGGTGACCCTCACTTACTCCTCTGTCATTGTCTCTGGAGCTGTCAATTCCTGCCAACAGACTCCCTCTAGTGTTTGCCTTTCCTAACAACAGAGAACCAGAGACTTGAACTCTTAGGATTCATATGGATCATCTGTACCAGCCTTCCTCCATCTGGTGCTCTCCAGATGTTCTATACTATGTCTCCCACCAGTCTCAGCCAACAATGCCAATGGTCAGGGAAGATAGGAGCTGCAGTCCAGCAACATCTGGAGGGCACCAAGTTGGAGAAGACTGGTCTACATGCATTGGGGAACTGCAAAGGGAAGATTTGCTTGTGCCTTTCTGGGCCAGGTCATACGACTGTTGGGTACTTAGAAGGCACCCCCCCCCCAGCTCATAGTAACACTTTTGCTGGCATATAGTGCATCGTCGCCACACACAAAACCCACCTGTTTTGTACACCACTGTTTAGCCACTTTGGAAGCAAACCCCCCTAACGTTATGTGGCTCTCTATCTGTTAAATTAATCCAAAACTGAACTCTGAAGTGCAAAGAACCAACTAGGACCAAGATCCAGGTGACAGTTCTTTCCACATGGCTCAGAAGTTCAAGGGGCTAAAATAGGGCACCCAAAGGTATGGAGGTGGCTTCCCTTAATGATTCCTTATTTCCCAGGGGCCATGTTGAGTTGTGACTGCTGAGTGAGAAAAACTGCAGGGAATGGGCCTTTACTCAGGTCACGTGGAAAGAAGTCTGCCTGCAACCCCCTATAAGCCAAAAGCTTTCCTAAAGAGCAGCAATGGACCAAGAGCCCGAAGAGAGACTACAGAAATCTTCAAGAGGAAATTGGGAGTCGCTCACCATGGTGAAGGGCATGAACTGGAGGATGCTGCCACGGCTTCCTTGCTCCAAGCAGTCTACGCACTCCTCCATGAACCACTGAACAAACTGTGTGTGTGTCCCAGCTGTCTTGGCTCCCAAGATGGAAGAAATCAGCAGGAAGAGGTTGGCTGGGGAGCAGAAGAGGGAGGAACTAAGCATTGTCTCCTCTAAACTATTTTTCAGTTTTTTAAAATACAGTGGTACCTCGGGTTAAGGACTTAATTCGTTCTAGAGGTCTGTTCTTAACCTGAAACTGTTCTTAACCTGAGGTACCACTTTACCTAATGGGGCCTCCCGCTGCCACCATGCAATTTCTGTTCTGCCGCCACGCAATTTCTGAAGCAAAGTTCTTAACCCGAGGTACTATTTCTGGGTTAGTTGAGTCTGTAACCTGAAGTGTCTGTAACCTGAAGCATCTGTAACCCGAGGTACCACTGTACAGTCATACTTTGGTTTTCGAACACCCTAGTTCTCAAACATTTTGACTCCCGAACGATCGAAACTCAGAAGTGACTGTTCTGGTTTTTGAATGTTCTTTTGGAAGCTGAACGTCCGATGGGGCTTCCGTGGCTTCCGATAGGCTTCAGGAGCTTCCTGCAGCCAATCAGAAGCTGCGCTTTGGAAGTCGAACGCTTTGGAAGTCGAACGGATTTCCGGAACAGATTCCATTTAACTTCCAAGGTACGACTATAATAATGTTAATAGTAATATTCACCATACATACATGCATCTATATCTATAGATAGAATTTCAAGTGCATCTTTTCTCTGTGATCCTTACAAAACCCCCGCAAAGTGATATTGTTGCAGTTATATCTCCAACAGGTTTTCATTTGGCAGCCACGATTCAGTTTATCCCAACATCAGTAACCGCACGCCGGCAGGCTGTGGCTTGCCCAAGGCCACCAAGCAGGGAGTTCATGGTACTGGAGAGATTTAACATAGTGCTGCCTTGACAGTGGAACAGACTGCCTCAGGAGGGGATAGGTTCCCCTGCTTTGATTTAAGCGAAGTCTAGATGACCACCTGGCAGGGATGTTGCCATTTTATTCTACACTGCAGATCATGCATTGATACGGGGGGCGGGGGGAGGTTGGACTAGATGACTGCAAAGACCCCTTCCGCCTCTATCATTCCATGAAACGTTCAAAAGCAGGTTTCACGGCTGAACCCCTAGTGATCATCAAACGAAGCCCCACATAAACTGAGCTACATTTCAACCAGGCCAGCTGGGTGCCTGGCCTGCTTCTATAACTTTCCCCTCCGCTTAGCTAGGACTGAAGAGGCTTACCTAGGACTCTGTTGAGAGGATCTCTCATGCTGACTGTGTGCAGCTGCGAGGCGGACAGCGAAGTGCTCATCGTGCGGTCTGCTGAAAGTAGAGAAAATACCAGAGTTTGGTGACTACTTGCATCCCAAACAGGAAATGCCTTTGAATTGGACCTTCCTTCCCTTTTCTAATGGCTGCCTGAGGGGCTTGGGATGACAAGATGGTGGCAGCAGCAGCAGCAGGTTTCTGGCAAGTCACTTTGATCATGTTGGATCACCATCCTAATGTTCAACAACATTACACTAAACTAACAGCACCACAATTTAGTATTTCCAAGTGTTCAACGTATGTTACCTCCACAAGGCCTCAGGCCATTTTCTCTCAGGCAATAGCCCCCCATCTGCAATATGGGGATAACAGCACTGACCTACTATGCACGACTACTGGAAGGATTACAACATAGTAATGTAAGTGAAATAATTTTGGCATATGAAAGCAGTCTGTCAGGGGTGCGGAAGCTCCAGCCTGCAAGCAGAATTAGGCTTTGCCAGCCCACTGCCCCCAATTTGTTCTGTGAGGCCGTTTTGGACAAGCCATGAGCACCTGCCCTATGCCTGATGTCAGGTATGGGATGCATAAAGACCTGGCTCAAGCCAAATGGGGGTTCGCAGCATTGGCGATCAGCTGATTGGTGGCACCAGCAAAGCACTGCGCACAGGGCTTTGCAACATTCAAGAATCAGCTGATCATCGAGTCCTGTGAAGAGTTCGTCAAGATCCAGCAAGATCATCTGGTCTTCCAGAGCAGTTTGCAAGGGGATTCCCAAGATCCGACGATCAGTTAATCACTGGCACTTTGAAGGCTGTCCCTCTGCTGCACATTGATTTCAAACCATGTGGGCAAATAAGGGTCACTTGATGTCATTGTGTGATGTCAGGTGAATGACAGGTGGTGGCCCTGCCCCCTTGTCAAATCTGGACCTGGCTGTTGGTAGAGAGAGGGAGAATGATCTGGCCCGCTAGTTATATCCAGTTCCCCACCCCTGCACCATGGAAATGTAAAGATTTAACTTCATCTTACCACATTGCATGTTAGAACACTAAAAAATGAACAAGGTGTGATTGAGTACCTGCTGCAAATATCCCAAGAGGACTAGAAACTTCTTTTTTTAAGAAGAAATGAACACAGAGATTGGTCAACTGTTAAACTCAGTGCCAATTGGGCCCAGATCTGTTCTATGTGGTATAACTGAGGAATGTACAAAGATAGGTTACAAAATCAACTGCACCACCAAGTGTTTAAAAGCTAAGCAGTCCAGCCTTGGGTGGTGGGTTTCACAGACCTTCTCTATCCATTTCCACAATTCTGCCATGGAACTGCCCTGAGAGTGGAATCAGATACAATGATGCTGCAAGAAAGGAAGTTAAATTCCAACACTCCCTCTGATTCATAGCTGGATCAAGGATAGAGGCTTGGTTGTAAATAATCTCGTATGCAAATCAGAGAGGAAACACGGGTGTGCCAAATCACTGCTATGACAGGAGGAATTAGGGAGAGAAAACTCCCCAATTGCATTGTTATGTAGACAAAAGTAAAACCACAACAAAAGGATAACGAAATAAAGGGAAATCACGGGCCTTGAGAGCAATGGAAATATACAAAAACAAGATCTCTGAATCACCGGGCAAGAATCCAAGGTGATGAGCAGTGATGTTCTCCATATCTATAAACAAGAGGTCACCAGTTTCCCCTACTGACAAAGTTACTGATCATTTGATCTCCTGGTTCTCATCTGTGAGCTGATTACTGGAGCTGCATAGGAAAGTGGCCTTTCTCTTTGCATGTGGCTCTTGGTTCCCCAGAACACAGAAAGCCCAAGTGGGATTTGTGGCATGAAGCACCTTTTACTAGCTTTTACAGCTCCTCCTGGACACAGCCCACCCAGGTCTCTGTTGTTTCTAAGAAGTTTTTAGTTTAAAAAAAATATTTAGTTTTTCAGTTTAAAGTTTTACAGTCAATTATCCAGCAACCAACATAAAAACAAGATTCCAAAGAAACTCCTGAACTTCCTTCCTCCCCTTTGTGGGTCCTTGTGTTAACCATTTCCTCCTGCATCTTTTATAATAACCCAAACCTTTTACATCTCCATTATATCCAAAACTCAACATTAAACTACAAGTACTATTCCAATCCTACTAATGATTTTAGCTGTTTACACAATGGTTTTTAAGATAAATTATACATTTTCCCCATTCCTTATTGAAATTTTGGTCTTCCTGATTTCTGATTTCTTCCGGTCATTTTTGCCATTTCAGCATAATCCATCAACTTAACCTGCCATTCTTCTCTGGTAGGGACTTTTGTCTTCCTTCCATCTAGTAGTTTTTGGTTTTTAGTTCCTGCGCCATGTCTTCCTTCATATCAAGAGATTCTTCCATCCGAGTTGGATGCCTACGCTGAGCCAGACACTGTTTTGGACACTTCCACTGCCAACAGTGTTCTGCGCTGTGCCGCTATCCTTAACTTTTAAAAAGTCAGTAAGGTAGGAAACTTTACCTTTACATGCTCCTGATAGCATACCCTCCCAGGGGGCACAATTACAAATCAAAATGATGTGTTGAAGCCTCCAGTAAGGGCCAGAAATGCTAGATAGCTGAGGAGCTGCATTGGCACATGATCTACATTGAGCTCTGATGCCTCCACCCCTTCCAAACAGCACACCTAAATTTTCCCTGAAGTAAACAAAGTAATCCCCACATTCATTCCCTGTGGCTTATACCTATTTATTTATTATCTTGGAGAAAGCACAGTTCACAATAAGTAACTTTTTTTAAAAAAAGCAAAATATTAAAATGTTTTAAATAGATCCATCTAATCTGAATCCTCCCAGATGGAGAGAAGTTGTTGTTTTGACGTGGTTAAAAGGAGAGAGAGAGAGAGAGAGAGAGGAAGTGGAATGAGCTTTAGTCAGGTTTAGAATGGATTCAAGATTGGCCAGTCTTTTCCAGGGAGCCTGTTTGGATTCATATTAATTCCAGGAAAAGCTTTCTCACCATGATTCCACTTACTGGGGCTAGACAGGATGCTGGTGTCTTCCTCATTGGAGCTGAGCAGGCGCATCAGTTTGGAAGGCTGGGTATCATCCAACGGGAAGAGACTGGTGTAATCCTGGAAGAGGAACCGAAAGGACAGAAAAGAGTCCATCAAGGTTACTGATATACACAACCATGAATAAGGCAGGCGGTCTGGTCCTGATTTTGTCATTCATGTATGGACTTGTACTGTCTCACCTTTGCCTCTCTCAAAAAAAAGGATGATTCACATACTCCATTTCTCATCAGCATATTTAAAAGAAGGAAGAAGAGGTGCCAGAGAGCCATTGTAGTGTGATGCCTGAGACTGAACTGTGACCCACAAGCCCCCAATTCAAACTCCAGTTCTAACCTACCTCACAGGGCTGAGCTACTCCACAATGGATGTGACACACTGCAGAAATGAAATGGTATCCTCCTCTTGTTTGTAAAATGTCTGTTCCATTTGCAAATGCAACAAGCTGCTTTTGCACACTGATCTCACAGAAACAGGAATTATTATTATTATTATTATTATTAATTTATACCTCACCCATCTGGCTGGGTTTCCCCAGCCACTCTGGTGGCTCGAAGAAGAAGAAGAAGAAGAAGAAGAAGAAGAAGGAGAAAAACACCAAACATTGAAAACTTTCCTAAACAGGATTACCTTCAGATGCCTTCTAAAAGTCAGATAGTTGTTTATTTCATTGACATCTGATGGGAGGGCATTCCACAGGGCAGGCGCCACCACCAAGCAGGCCCTCTGCCTGGTTCCCTGTAGCTTCATTTCTCGCAGTGAGGGAACCACCAGAAGGCCCTCGGAGCTGAACCTCAGTGTCCAGGCTGAAGGGTGAGGATGGAGACGCTCCTTCAGGTATACTGGGCCAAGGCTGTTTAGGGCTTTAAAGGTCAGCACCAACACTCTGTGCTCGGAAACGTGCTGGGAGCCAATGTAGGTCTCTCAGGACTGGTGTTATATGGTCTTGGCAGCCACTCCCAGTCACCAGCCTGGAAGCTTGCTTTGTACCAAGGTCAGACTGTCGGTCCGCCTAGCAGAGTATTTTCTACCCTGACTTGCCATGTCTCTCCAAGGATTCAGGCAGAAGTCTTTCGCAGCCCAACCAGCAGATGCTGAAGACTGAAATTGGGGCCTCCTGTAACCCAAGTATATAATCTTACTGAACTATGGTTTTTCTCCTTCACTGGATCAGCTGAAGAAGCATCCACGAAGAAGCAAGGGATAGAATGAGAAAAAAAAAGACTTTCCTGTTCCCCTGTGCGCCACACCTCTTATTTTCATACAGAACTTTTTTTCTCTGTGTGTGCTCACTTAATAATAATTGTTTTTGGAATTTCTAACACTGCAGAGCCACATTATCTGATGCATGGACTCTGGTGAAGTTCCCAAGAGCAGGCATAGGCAAACTTGGCCCTCCAGGTGTTTTGGGACTACAATTCCCATCATCCCTAGCTAACAGGACCAGTGGTCAGGGATGATGGGAGTTGTAGTCCCAAAACATCTGGAGGGCCAAGTTTGCCTATGCCTGCCCAAGAGCTTAGCAAACATAGGGAGTCACTTTGGTATCATAAAAAGTTTCATATCTCAGGGGTCTGCATATATATTTTTTAATGCAAGCAGGTAAGGAAAACTAAAGTCCAAAATTGTTTCAGATAGGGTTGCATGCAGTCCAAGATGCTACACAATATCAGAAGGGGTGGGGGCGGGGAAGATAGCTAACCATGATCAGATCACCTTATTGAAGGATTGACAAATTCATGAAGAACACGTCTATCAACAGCTATTAGTCATGGTAGTGAAAAAGAACCTCAATACCAGGTTGATTTTGGGAACATAAATTAAGGGAAGGTTGTCACTTCCATGCCCTTTTTCTGAGCCTCTCAGAGGCAACTGACTGGCTGTTCCTGGAAACAAAACGCTAGTTGATTTGAATCCTTGGTCTGATCCAATAAGGTGTTGCTGGTTTCTAATGTTCTTAGAGGTCAAGGAAAGACAATTCCTTTGCTACAATCTCTAAGCTTGCAATTTAAAATTGTGATTAAATTTTAAAAATGAAAAATCATAATTAAATTTTACAACTGAAAATTGTACAAGTTTGCTTTTTTGCACAATTCTCCTTCCCCCATTCATTCCTCTCGCCTCTTCACATCCAGCCACTCCAATTGCACTTATCAATCCACTGCGGCCTGCTTTCCTTTTCCCAACATCCTTGTGGGAACAGCAGTTTACCTCTATATCTTCTCGGTGCCTCTTGCGCTGCCAAGCCGAAGTCTGCCCCTTGTTGTGGGAGGAGTAAGAGCTGGAGGCACACCACACAGACAGCCTAATGGAAAAAGAAACATACATCAGCTACAAAGAAGGACAAGTGATTTTTTGCTTTTTCTTACTTGATGCGGGTTTTCATGAACCACGACATTCTCATACCGTATAAGGAGTACAGGGAAACTAGCATCATATTTGGAGGAGATCAGTAATCAGAGAATGTCTCCTTAAGTTTACATCAATAAATGCATTCTTCCACTCCCTGGACCCCATCATCCCTGGTGCCCCAGCACACAAGATGTCACGCTAAGCTTGTAAGGCGGCCTCAATGGGGGGAAACAACATATTGCTGGGGCAATATGAGAAAAGCCAAGCTTGTGGTTTAATGGAGTGAACCCTAGAAGCTTGCATTTGGGTTGTGAAACTGTGCCATTTTTACTGCCTTCATGCATAAAAATATGTTTCTTGTTAGTGTTTGTGGGAATTCAGCTTTGAAGTTCTAGGAGGGCCTTGGAGATGGGCTGGAAGGACTCCCATGTTTCATTCCCAAAGCTTGCCTCTAACAGCATTTGCAATTTGTGGTCATTTTTTAACTTCCCATGTCTTATTGCTTCTAGCTTTCAGCTATCATTATTTGACATGTTTTAAAGCGCTCAGCAAAATGTTTTCACAAGAAAGAAAGGGAGGAAGGAAGGAAGGAAGGAAGGAAGGAAGGAAGGAAGGACTCTAGTTTTCATGGCTTGAAAGGGTACAGGGCAATAATAGCAATAATAATAATTTATTACTTATACCCCGCCCATCTGGCTGGGACGTGGGTGGCGCTGTGGGTTAAACCATAGAGCCTAGGACTTGCCATTCAGAAGGTCGGTGGTTCAAATCCCCGCGTCAGGGTGAGCTCCCGTTGCTCGGTCCCAGCTCCTACCAACCTAGCAGTTCGAAAGCACGTCAAAGTGCAAGTAGATAAACAGGTACCGCTCCGGCGGGAAGGTAAACGGCGTTTCCGTGCGTTGCTCTGGTTCGCCAGAAGCGGCTTAGTCATGCTGGCCACATGACCCGGAAGCTGTACGCCGGCTCCCTCAGCCAATAAAGCGAGATGAGCGCCGCAACCCCAGAGTCGGTCACGACTGGACCTAATGGTCTGGGGTCCCTATACCTTTACCTTTACCATCTGGCTGGGTTTCCCCAGCCACTCTGGGAGGCTCCCAAATGAATATTAAAAACTTCCCTGCCTTCGGATGTCTTTTAAAAGTAAGATAGTTGCTTATTTCCATGAAATCTGATGGGAGGGCATTCCACAGGTCAGGTGCCACTACTGAGAAGGCCCTCTGTCTGGTTCCCTATAACCTCACTGGTACCTGGTAACTACGGAATGCAGGATTCACAGGAAGCTGGAGACAGAGCTTCATCACTCAATATTTTTCCCTTTCTCATGGCAACCAGAAACTGAATAAACTCTGCAAAAAAAATTGGCACCGGTGTCCTTAACATCACATCAAGTTTTGGCTTGTGGATTTCATACCGGCACAGAATTGGGGCTCATTAACACCTGTCTGCTCATCTCTTACTTGGCAAGAGCCTTGCCCGGAGGATCCATCAGCATATGCCACTTGGAGGAGTCTGTGAGCAGATTGGGCAGGATGTGTCCCAGGAGGGTGAGCGTCAGCTGCTGCATGTCCAGGCAGAAAATGGAGTAGAGCAACTCCACAGCCCGCATTGCGTGCTCTTTCCGTGTCTCTTTCAGCAGCTCCTGGGAGGGAAGAGAGGACGACAGAAAGTGACAAGAGGATAGGGGCAACGAGCAGCGACATTTGCTCCTCACTTAATGCCATGAGTGCCAAACTACTCTGGGAGCCTATGGCAGAAACTCACACAGACTCTCTCTCGCCCACGCTTTGTCAGTGGTCAGAAACAGCTCCATAGAGGGGCCACCAGGTGGCGCGTTGGAATATGGCCGACAATAACATCTCTCTGACCCATACGAGGTAATTAAGGGGCTGCTATGGGAAGTATGCAGTCTTCCTACCCCCCCAGGAGACGGGGGGGGGCGCTGCCTTGCCAGTGGTGTTCACAATGCACCCCCGATCCGAGAGATGGGGGTGCCGAACACTTGGCACGAGCCCTCGGTGAAGTCAGATCTTCCTGACGCCGATTCCAATTAGCGCGTGCTGGTTAGCTTCAGCTCGGAATTATAATTGGAAACATATGCTTGGAATGAAGCTGAAGCACATACATCAAGTAATGTTCGAGGATAAGACTGCTGATTAATGGATCTCTGTGACCGGGAGTGACGGATGGATAAGTAAATCTTCTGATGAATCACCACTAGGAGACTGTATGTTTGGAATGAAGGGGGGGTGGAGGAAAAAACTTTTTTTTCTTTGCACGATGTGATATTAATAACCCTTCACCCCAGATAGAAATAAGATCGTTGCGTTTTTATTAATCACAAGCAGGAATTCAAGAACTGTGTGGGATGGATTATAACAGGAGAGAGGATTGGTGAACGGTGAGAAAGAGGAAAATTTTTATGACGCAGTTAAAAAATGGCGTCTCGCCGAGACAGGCTTGCTGGAGAAAGAAGGACAGGGGGAGGAGAATCAGGATCGTTCGAAAGAGAAGGAATGTTGGAACGCAAGCTTGACCTGACAGAGCCTCCTGATTCATTTGATTTATTTGGCAAGCCTGAGAAAAGTAAAGGACAGGCGAAAGATTAAGTTTTTATGGAAGCGTTGAACAGAGGCTGTCCCTGAGCGATATGATCTTTGAAGAGTACAAAACCCACACAGAGGATGCCTGTTTTCAATCTGCTTGTGAAAATTATCAGAGATCGCAAAGAAAGGAATATACGATAACAACAAGAAGAGAAAGAAAGTAATAAAGGACTATCTAGATTGAACTGGATAGAACTGTCTAATTAAAGCAGTAATATAAGTGATGTTTGGACTCGTTCGGAGTTTTGGAATCGTGCGGAGCTTGATGTATGGGTACCCCCAACAAAATTTAAAATTTGGCTGTATAATTTGGAACTAATGTGATTTGGATAATGTGATGTGATTGGCCTGTTAATAAAAATTATTTAAAAAGAAAAAAGAAAGAAACAGCTCCATAGAAAAGCACTGTGCAGCTAAACACAGCAGAAGAAACATTCCTCTTGCAGTATCCCCAACAGAAAGAAGTGGAGGGGGTAGGTAGAGAGAGAGGCATAATTTTCACCCACATAAGCCCACCTCTCAGATGGTTAGGAGCAGGGAATATACTTAGGAGGCATTCAGTTCACTACATGCAGCTACAAATACCCCCAGGGATGTGTCTGTCATGGTCCTGAACCTTTGGAAACTGTCTGCTCTAGAGTTCCACCTGAGTCCATCACTGTCGACATTTAGTCTCTGTCTCCATCGTTCAGCCTGGACAATGAGGTCCAGTTCCGAGGCCCGTCTGGAAGCTCTCTCATTGCGAAATGCGAAGCTACAGGGAACCAGGCAGAGGGCCTTCTTGGTAGTGGCACCTGCCCTATGGAACGCCCTCCCATCAGATGTTCTGAAGACATCTGAACAGAGCCCTGTATTGGGAAGTTTTTAATGTTTGATGTTCCTCTTTGCTTTTTTATATTCTGTTAGAAGCTGTTCACAGTGGCTGTGGCAACCCAGTCATATGGGCGGGGTGTAAGTAAATAATTAATAATAATAATAATAATAATAATAATAGGCAATGTAATGGGGGGGGGGGGAAGTGAGCTTAGAATTATGTGACTTGACTATTCCTAATTAGCTCACAGGTCTTTCTCAAATATGCATATAGGAAGGCATGCAGCTGAGGCCAGGCATCAAGAGACTGCAATTCCGAGTAGCCTCATCTAGGCTGAATGTAGCTGCTAATGAGCTACGGTAAGGCCAAGAATGCAAATCATGGCGTCATCGTGAGAATCCCTTGGGTGACTTAGAGGCAAGCCACTCTCTCTCTGCTTCAGTCTTGCCTCACCCAATTGGGAATGCAGAAAGAAAACTTTTCTGCCTCATAGGAGAGTGGGTGAGGGTTTTCAGAACATATTCAGAGCCTTTTGACCACCTGTTTTATGAAAAGCAAAGCTATTCCACTTATTTATTAAGCATTTACAACCCACATCTTCTACTAAAGCATGGCACCCACAACAATTTCAGGAAAACCATTTACAACATAATGCCTCCAATAGGTGAAGTCTTTTTTCTAGCTGTTGGAAAAGTACAGTACTCGCATGTGCCCTATACCTTGACAAGGTTGTTGCAGAACCAGTAGACTCCGCCCATGTGCAGAAGGGTGTCGAAGATGTGGATGGAGCGGCTGTCCACCCAGCCTTTCTCCAGCACTTTGGAGAAGACGCCCATCAGCACCTCTTTGATTGGCTTCTTGGCAGGAAGGAAGTTCCAGTAGGGCATAGTGACGACCCCTGTGGCTGAGAACTTGATATTCGCAGCTGTCTGCTGCAGGACATCAGCACACATGTGCTCAAGGATTGAACTCATGATCACCACTCTGGACGGGGGGCAGGGGAGAGAAAAAAGGGTAAAGTATGACCACCTAAACCTGCATCCTTATCAAGGCTTCTTTGGCAGCTCCAAGTTGCTGATGCCCCCAAATTCCAAGCAACGTCAACTAAAGGCATTGAGTTGAGGCTCTAAGGAATGTGCTGAAGCAGTCTTTGACCAGCGCTTAATATTTGCAAAATGACTCTTCATAGCAGCAGTGATTGAGGAATAACAGAATTATCTTAGCGCTGCTGTGTAAATCTAACACTCGCACTGGGACAGGAAACCAATGTCTCCATTCAGACCCAGATGAAGGAGTGGCAATTCAGCAGCTTCACATTGCAGGTTCCCTCTGATGCTCTTTTTGTCCCAGGATGGCCACCTTAAGAACAGTGGCAGTGCAGCCTGGTAGCCAGAGTAGCCAGAGTAGCCTGATCAACTGCTCACTGCCTGTACTGCCTGTGAAGCCACAGAATCACAGAATGGTAGAGTTGGAAGGGACCCTGAGGATCATCTAGTCCAACCCCCTTCATTGCAGGAATATGCAGCTGGTCCATAAGGGGGTCAAACCTGCAACCTTGGCGTTAGCAGCACTATGCTTTAACCAAAGAGTATTCAAACTTTTTTTTCCATGCAGCAAAAAGCCTGGGCCCCCTCCCAGTTATATCTGATCTTTCAGGATGCTTAAGTCAGTGTTTTTTATGAGACACATGATATCAGCATGGAAATCATACAAAAAAGCAGAACACGCACCAGGGGCACAAAGCAGAATACAAGCAGGTTAACCTGCCCTGCAGATGCAGCCTTTACCCCACATTTTAAACCCTTAGCTTAACACCCTGTTTTCTGCTACCCAGACTCTTACTTGCCTCTCACTGTAGAACTGCAGGGTGTTTTCAGCATACAGGGGAGTTGCCAACTGCCGGATCATCTGCAGTGACTTCTCTCTCTCGTCCAAGCCCAGCATACGGACGTGAGCTACGAGCCAGGCCACAGCGCACACGGCCATGCTGCACACCTTCCCCTTGATGTTGTCTGTGATTTTCTGGGGAAGGGAGGAAGAAGAGGAGGGAAAGCAAGGCAAGAAGGCAGCTGTTGAGACTCTAGATTTTTTACTTTTCATTCATTGAGGGATGGTTTGGATACCAAACATACTGCAACTGCAGCAGTAGTTGTAAGATCACGTCCAACTCTCAATTCTATGCATCCCATATGTACCGATGCAAGAGAAAGAACAAGCCTAAAGCACCAAATCATCAGGATTGTGTAGTGCGTTTGTTGCTACAGTTTTCTCTTTCTATAAAGGGAGAAACACGCAGCCTCCCTGTTGCATGGTACAGCCCAGAATGTTTTTGCACCATTCCCGATTCGGATTTTTGCTTCTGAATGGTGGTGGGCTTTTAAAAGGTGAACAGCAACACATCTCCTTTGTATACAAGGCTCACTAGAAATGCCTGCTCTTTGTCATTACCTGGACGGACTCAAAGGTGAGAACCCCGTTCTCCCAAGCGTTCAGGATCTCCAAGATAGCAGCAGAGATGCTCAGACACGCTTCTTGCCATTTCATCTGCCTGCTCAGATGCAAAGATATACAGGGAGGGAAAGAATCAAGGGGAAAACTTGTCAGTAATATAGGAGATCATTAGCCATTCCCTCCCCCCATTCCAAACCCGCCTCCTCTTCTCTTGAAAGTGTATTAGCAATACCTGCTAAAAGCTCAAAAGCGAGGGCTGAGCAAAGATTTCTAAGTGGCAGAGGACTGAGTGCCAGTCTCTCCCTCCCCCAGTAAGCAGAAGCAGAATTATGCACCATCTGCAGGTTTTGTTGACACCAAACTTAAATGTTGGTGAAACCATGTACACAGGATAAGGAAGGAGGCAGGAGCAGCAAAGGATGCACAGAAAATCCACATCTTAACTATCAGAGAGCTCTGTTGAGACTGCCTGCCCTGTGTTCAACCATGAGGACTAGAAACCTGCTTTAAGAAATCAAAAGCCTAGAGGTTTAGGAATCCGCTCTATGGCATGGACAGAGAAAACAATGAACAGCCCTGCAGCATGAAGAAAGCGACTGACACTCAGGAGAGGTGGGAACCTTCAGCATGCTATTTTTAGCGCACCAATTCCTAGGCAAAGCTATTCTAGCACAGCTACTTACACCAACTTCATTTCTGACGAATTGTTGAGCAAAGCAACTAGAGACTCCACCTTGGTGGAATCGGGCCGGAAGCAAGGGTGGTCAGGGTTGAGGATCTTCCCTTCCTCTGGCATGCAGGTCTGCATCCAGGTCTCAAAGAAAGGCACTTCCCCAGGTGGACCAGCTTCAGAAAGGATCACCTGAAAGAGAGATGGCCAAAGGAGTTGGGCAGGGTAGAGCCATCATGAAGCCCTCGACCACAGCAACAGCGCCACCTAGTGAGTGAGAGGTTAGGGACAACACATGCAGGGCATGAACATGGGACCTGGTTTCCCGTGCCTGGAATAAGCTCTCACTGTCAGGATTTTGGCCACCCCATTTGCTTACTTATGGCATTTTCATGGCGCCCTGTTGCCAAGTTCTCAGGGTGGCTTATGACAAAACTCAAAGCAAATTAAAAATATTCCTCACAGGGGGAGGGGAGAAGAGAGTGGAAAGCTCGGAAGATACACTGGACGTGTTCAGAGAAGAACCCCCTTTTACTTACATCTCTGTGCCTATGCAGAGAACCTCTCCTCCACCATTACCTCTCCCTTGCCCCCGTATTGTACAGCGTAGAGAAGACCCTACCTCAGAGCCGTAGGTCTGGGCGACATGGCACAGCATGAGGAAGGAAATGTCGAAGAGAAGCGCTCTGACTGACGCCGCTTTGGCTAGAGAAGTGGGAGGAAACCCACAACAATAAGTTCACACAACAACAACAACAACAACAACAACAGAGATATCAACAACAACAAGAGATATATCAGTAATTTATTATGACCATTAACTACATCTGGTGCATAAGAAGTGCTCTGCAACTACATTCTCGTTCGTTGTACTGACACAAGAGGAGTTCTCTCGCTCTGTGTTTTTTGGTTTCTTTCCATTCCTGAGTCCTTACGTCCCACACTGATCACTGACAGCCTCTGATGGGGCGCTTCTGGCAGTCCCTCATCCCATATGCCTTCTGCGCCTTTAGCCTGGGGCTGGCCCTGCCCTGTGGAACTCCTTGCCAAGAGAAGTCCGGCAGGGCTCGACCCTGCTTTCTTTTAGACATCTTTTGAAAACAGTGTTGTTGACTGGGCTTTTGGTACATGCATCTTTCTTCTCTGCCTTTCCTCCAAATATGCATATATAAATGACCCCCCCCCACAAATCCCTATTTATTTAAAAAGGACCCCCTGGAGGGTTAAGTCCAGTCAAATTCGACTATGGGGTTGTGGTGCTCATCTCGCTTTCAGGCCGAGGGAGCCAGCGTTTGTCCACAGACAGCTTTATGGGTCATATGGCCAGCATGACTAAAATGCTTCTGGCGCAATGGAACACCGTGATGGAAACCAGAGCACATGGAAATGCCGTTTACCTTCCCACCGCAGCGGTACCTATTTATCTACTTGCACAGGTGTGCTTTCGAACTGCTAGGTTCGCAGGAGCTGGGACAGAGCAACAAGAACTCACCCTGTCACAGGGATTCGAACCGCCAACCTTCTGATCGGCAAGCCCAAGAGGCCCAGTGGTTTAGACCACAGTGCCACCTGCGTCCCTATCTATTTACTGGCCTTCTAGTAATCATAGAAAGCAGCAGGAACAGAGCAATGGACATCCCTAATGAAAATCGGACTCAGGCCCCTCTTTCCAGCTCCTCACTTTTTATCAAACCCTTTTGAGGGTGTGACCAAGCTTAACAGTTTCAAAGCACTTCAAACATCTTGAAAAATGAACAAGGAGGAAACAAAAACTGTCAATGGCTAAAGAGAGCTCCCTTTCCCATCAGTCCAGTGGAAGGTCAGAGGGTCTTTTGTGCATTTAATCACATGCAAAACGCATTCAGAATCCTTATCTTGGGTTAAGTGGGATTCACACACATCACTCCATCCAAAGGACTTGAGCTGTATGGACGCTCAGAGGACTGTGGGGAGGAAAGGAAGGGGAGAGGAGAGGGAGGTTGCAGCTGCAAGTTAACCCTTCCCCTCCCAGGGCCGAGGTCCCCCACCAAGCAGCACAAAGTGACTATTCTCAGGGGTGGTGGGGAAACAGGAGGATGCACGTGGTAGCCCAAAAGACAAAGAGACCCCAGTCATAACTTGAATGCCCCCCTTGTTGCATCAGGAATGCTGCGCTGGCACTGCCTACGCTGCCAGGCACCATGGCTCACTTTCAACTCTTCCCCACCCCCTCCAGACTTTTCAGTTAACACGCAAAAAAATCTAGAGCCTCAGGAAGGAGCTGCAGTAACATCAGACTGAAAAGAAAAGAAATAAAGCAAGACAACAGGGACTTACAGCCTTCTCCGCTGATGTGCTTGGTAAGTTCATTAAGCCTAAAATGAAAGGTGAAGGAACAGAAAAGGGGAAAAAATGAGCTAAGGCTGCATTTATTTTGTAAGGGACCAAACCAAGTATCATAACTGCCCCCACATATTTATTTTTTTGCTTTCTAAAATGTTGATCACCTTGCTGTGCGAAACACGATGCGAACTTAAAAAGTAGGTCGCAATCATTCCCATTCTACAGATGATAAAAAGAACCAACTTGGCAAGACTAAATGCACATCTCAAGTGGGACTTGAATTTGGGTGCTGCCCCATCCTTTCTTCTTTGTACCAATCAAATCAAGGTGAAACCTTCTTAGCCATTCCCCGCCTCCATTCTTCTCCTCTTTGGCTGTGAACACACTATACATTTAATTCACATTTCTTCTCACAAAGAATCCTGGGAACTAAAGTTTGTAAAGGGTGCTGGGAATTGAAGCTCTGCTGTGGGTAAGCTACAGTGCCCATATTTTGGGGGGGGGGGGGCTTGCTTTAGATATGCTCTGAAAATATACAGTGTGGATGCAACCTTAGCCTGCCTTTACTCTTTTGGAAAAGATTCAGGCCTTTCCCACCCAGATGTGGCTCATCTAGCAAGCCAAGTTCCCATAATGCAAACACTTTGACATTCTGGCAGGGCTTTTTTTCTAGATAGAAGAGGAGGAGCACCCAAGTTGTTGAGCTTCTGTTAGGGGTGGGATCGCCTAAGAAAGCTTCTCTTCTTTGTCCCACCACCGGAGCCTTATGCCACCACCCTCTGCCCACAGCCTCTGCCACACACCACCATACTGCAGTGCTAGAGCTGCCGGAACACGCCACATAGGTGACAGAACCCACCAACTCAGACACACTTAGTTCCGGTGAGTTCTGGCTGAAAGAAAGCCCTGCTTTTTGGTATGGCACAGCCTTTCGCTTTCAACCTCACATAGGATGCCAAATTACATACTCGGTATCATATTCCACACTTGTGTGGACTACACATGGCCACAGCGCTAGAGCTCGCACGCTTGCAGCTTATACGTGTAAGAGTGGAGTAGATTTATTCAGACAGGAGTCTTGTGACAGAAATCTACCATCACATGGCTCGAAAGATAGTCCAGCCCCACCTCCCACTCCCGGTTCCCCCTCCTGGCAGCAACATCAAAAACAAATCTGTCTTTACCCTGCAGGAGAATTGTTTGCTTCTAATAACGGGTGGGAGAAGACCCCCCCACCCCACAATCTTGCTTGATTTGCTCAAGTACAGAAAGGCCTGAGTGTGCTTGTAAGATAGCCACTTGTGGGAGGTTTAACAGCCTCGTGAGCGGCTACCTAATAGCCCCTTCAGCTAAGACCCAAATGGGTTCAGAAAAAAATGCAGCAGCCGTACATGGAATTGGGGATGGGCTGTGGAATAAAAGAAGAGGAATGGAGACAGGGAGTTGATCTCTTGTCATTGGCAGGAATTCAGAAAAGCAAAACAGCCTTACAGCTAAAATACATATAGCTCCTGTGTTCTGTTAGGATAGACTGGCTTACGGGCTTGAAGGCTTAGATCCAAGGCCAGTGCTAAACGTTAGGGAAGCCACCTGGCTGCCATTGAAAGCAGCAGATCTGTATTGGGCTGCCCCAACAACACCTAAGTCACCATGTCAACATGTATTTCCAGTTTCCCAACTCCCAGGGCAGAGGAACACAACATGCAGTGATGTCATGTCATGATTGGTGTTTCACAAGATGTCTGGGGAGAGAAACGTTAATGGGAACTGCTGATCTGACACTGTTCACGCTGCTCTTGCTGTGGGATAGGTCAGCCTACCATGCTACCAAGGCTTCGGCCACCACCTCAGTTTCCCATCTATGTGAAATCTAAGAACCCGTCTCATTGTTTCTACAGGGGGAGGAAGGGGAAGATAGTAATATTTAAGTTGTTAACAGCTGGGGGCGCTTTACTCCAACACCTTGTGCAATGGTTCCCCCACTGAACTGTGCCTGGAAGTGCTGATGCGGATCTAAAAACAGCCTGAATCCTATGTAGACAGAAGCCAGGTGGGGTACAGCTTCCAACACACTCAACCAATGGATGTTCAACTGCATTTTAGCCATTGCACACCAGCCTTGCAAGCTCCTTTTGAATGACAACAGCACAATATTTCATTCTCCCAAGTTCAGGACTGGAAGTGCAAGGCTGGGTGAGACTATAGCCTTGGAGCATATTGTTTATCTGTTCTGTTCTATTTTATTTTGCTACTTTTCTTTTTACTATTTTACTTCACATTATTTTTACCTCCCCCCCCCAAATAATTTTTATTAGTTTTCAATTACAATAATCCAATGGTAGCCTCATTATAACAATGCCAAATCACAGTACAATTACTAATCCCAATCATTCAAATGTCAAATTATAAAATCTGGGTGGGCTCCTGCATGTGCTAGAACTAATGGTTTGATGATTTACTTTTCTGCGTTCCAAAATCTTATTCATCTCAATTACATTCCATCCAAAATAACAATCCGTTATACAACAACTGTAATATTAACGACATCCGCTCATCTTAACACATTAAATGATTTATAAATCTATAGGTGAAGCATTCAAACTATATCCTTATTCCTCCTGTGTGTGACAATTATTCTGTTGGTGGTGTTCCTTCCCGTCCACTTATGTCTATCTTTTCCCAGCCATTGCTGCTCTCCATCATGCCTTGGACGGAGCTAATACCCCATTGCTTATTTTCACTATTTTACTTTATTTTATTATTTTTATTTTACTATTAATAAAGACTTTTTTTTTAAATTGGCCAGTTGTGTGTGCTCCAGCCCTAATGAACAGCAGAAGTTCAACCGAGCTGTGGGTGGGTGTTTTAGCACTTGCACGCTCTGTGACCGTAGTGACAGCCTCCAGCTCCCCAACTTGAAAGGAGGCAGTGGCCAATCATATCCAGACCCACTCACTTGATAAATTTCCGGGCAAAGACTTTCAGCTTCCCTGTAGCTGCTGCAGCTGCCAACAACAGATCCAAGCTCTTCCCAGACAGCATATGTCCCAAGACGCCCAGCAGCCCTTCTGGGGTTTTCGAGTGATCTGAATCCATTGTCTGGAGTAGCAGAGAAATAAAGAAAGAAAGTAATTGAGTCGACGAAGGTTCCCGATTGGTAGCCGGCAGGGAACAAACTACAGAGAATTGTGTAAAGAGAAATCAGTTCTTAGCAACTTAACTACATGCCCATGGGTATTCATCACCATTTCACAGAATTCAAATTGTAAAACAAAAAAATGCAATATGAGAAATAAAAATACAATTAAAAATCAAGATGAATGCGGACATGCCGTGGTCCAGCTGAATTAAGCCAGCAGACCACTGAATTAAGATGAATGCGGACATGCCGTGGTCCAGCTGAATTAAGCCAGCAGATCACAGCTTGGGAATCCCTGAACTAAAGAAAGGCGAAAATTTATCGATTGCTAAAAGGAATGTGAAGGCTTTGTCCAATATTAGAAAGAGAATTAACACAGAAATGTCTCCGGTTCCGTTCTTTTAAAAAGAAAAAATATGACTAAGTCACAATCAATCAACACACATTAACAAAGAACCAACTAAGAGGGGGGAAACACAGAATGCGTAACTTACCATAGATTGTCTTGATTGTCTTTACAAGCAGTATCAAGACATACAAGAAGGTAACAAAATACATAGAGAAGTCTTCAGAGAATTAACAGATATATCTGGATTGCATTTCCAAGTCTAGTTCTTGGATGTCTTTCCAGTGGCATTTGTATACTTCAGATGAGGGTCTACCCATTGTTTCTTTGGTTACACATTCAATAAAGGTTTGTCAGGCCTTGTAAAAATGTGCTTGGCTGTACTTAACCTTCAGAGTAGCAAAACTGGTAGTTGTTTCTCCAGTAAACCATACTTTCAGATACCTTATGTCTAGGATCACAATATTTGCTAACTTGGTAAATGTTGGTGTGCCACCCCCAATTCCTGTGTCTCTCTTTGTCCCAGGGGGCAAAGCCACCACAGATTTATGTGTGACAGCCCAATGGGTGTGACATAACAGCAGAATAGTGTGCGTTTTACTGTGTTCTCTCTAATACAAGCACAGACAAACTACTCATGTGGCTTCTTGTGCCATCAGCTGACCACTGTCCCAAGATATTTTGTACCCTGTCCCTTTCCCCAAAATGCCTTGAAATCATTTGATACACTTTGATATGCAAGGCGTAGGTTCAAATCCCCAGTTGTGAAGCTCTGCTATCAGCCAGAGACAAGACACTTTCTTTCAACCTAATTTACAGTGCTATTCAAACCATGTCTACTTGGATGCAACTCAGTGGGCTTCACTTCCAGGTAAGTGGGGTTGTTCAGTTTGTAGCCTTAATCTCCTAACAGCTCTGAGATGAAACATTGCTCTGAGCAACTTCAAGGGAAGATAGCCAAACATAATCATTTCAAAACACAACTACTGTGCATGTCCACACAGAGGTTAAGGCCCACCGAGTTCAGTAGGAGTGTGTCTAGGCCAGGGGTCAGCAACCTTTTTCAGCCGTGGGCCAGTCCACCATCCCTCAGACCTTGTGGTGGGCCGGACTTTATTTTGGGGGGGGGGGGAATGAACAAATTCCAATGCCCCGCAAATAACCCAGAGATGCATTTTAAATAAAAGCACACATTCTACTCATGTAAAAACACCAGGCAAGTCCTACAAATAACCCAGAGATGCATTTTAAATAAAAGGACACATTCTACTCATGTAAGAACACACTGATTCCTGGACCATCCACAGGCCGGATTGAGAAGGCGATTGGGCCGCATCCGGCCCACGGGCCTTAGGTTGCCTACCCCTGGTCTAGGCCTCAGTAGCACCAAAGACTACTACAGCAGCAGTACTAAAAATAATAAAGGTATTCCAGTTTCTGTGTTCAAGATGCCATCACAAGGTTAGTGCCTACTTTCAGGATGTTGGTGACGGTGGGCTCCGCTCGCAGGATGAGGCCTGGGTTGGGCTGAATGTTAGCATTCTCAGGAGACTTTAAACGTGGCGCATGTTCCCGATCAGCGGTCCTGGGTGAGGTCAGAAGAAAAATACCCAAAGTTGAAATAAGAGGGTAAAGAGCTCTTTAATGAAAGTGGTATGCTCTGCTATACGGGCCACCCCACCAGTACAAAATTCACATATCTATAAGCTTCTGATGAAAATTCAGGGCAATGAACTTTTAATTTCTGAGAGTTTGACTCAGGTTAACTTGCATATTTAACCTGTGGGTTCTCAGAAACAAGACTTCCTAGTCCCCGTGGGCTCAATGCAGATGACAAACTGACTGAGTGGTAAAGTTTTCTACCATGGTTTTGCTTTGTCTATACCCTTTAACCCTTTGGAAGCTTTTGGACTCCAACTTCTATCAGGTTCAGCCAGCGTGGCCAACGGTCAGGGGGTGATGTAAATGGTTGTCCAACATCTGGAGAACCATAGGTATCCCATCCCCAGTCTGTATTTAGGAAAATGTGGTGGGATTCCCCCATCCACTTGTGGCTCATTCTCATGTGTGCTAAAGTTTGAAGACCGTATCATGTGGCTAGGCTCCCCCACATTTACAGCTGATTTATTTGAAACATTTTTGTTCTAAAAAAGTAAAGGTAAAGGGACCCCTGACCATTAGGGCCAGTCGTGACCGACTCTGGGGTTGCGGTGCTCATCTCGCTATGTCAGCGACAGGACAGTCCCTGTCTCCAGGCTTACAATCTGAAAAGGACATTGCAGAAAAGGAAATGCAACTGAGAGGGTGGTGGAGGGGTTGGGTGGGGAAGCAAACTCGGGAACTATTATTTCTTAGCTACAGAATTCTTGCAATGACAAGCTAGAATAGAAGGATTTCAAGGAGAGGGGGAGCAAAAAGTTCTGGGGCTTTTGGAAGAACAGATGAAGAAGGCCTGCAGTCCCAACTTAATAAACTGGTCATCTGTATTAGTAATCTGTGGCAGGCAAATATGACCTGGAGTAAGGAAGACAGCCCCTGAGTTACAGCATTTCACAGCTACTGCTGTCTTTCAAAGCAAGATTTTTGTCTCCCCTGCTTTTTTACCATAGTTTTTTTTTTTAAGAGTTCAGATATCAATTCCAAGTGCTGTTTATCATTTAAACATGCTGAAATATCTACAGCCTCTGACAGGTTGTTTTTTAAAAAATTTTAAAAAATATTAACTTAAGTTTAGTGTATTTTGTCGAGGAGCAACCTTTTAATATGCAAACAGAACTCCTACTCACAAGCTGTTTGTGGCTGGATACCCTGAGCAGAAACTGAAAGAAAATGGAAGGAAAAGTCTACGTACATCCTTGCCCAATCCATATTAATAAAACAAGACTAAATCAGCACTGGACAGCTTACTACAGTGTGTCTGAGGGTTTATTTGCTAAGGCGTCAGTTTGTGCTATGATGAGAGGTGGGTGGGAGGGAGAGAGAATCCAATTCCCCCACCACCACCAACCAGTTTAAAAGGTGTGAAATTAAGCACAGCAGATGCTTCGCAGGCTTAAAAAGCAACGCATTTAATGACTTTGCCAGCTTAAAACCAAATGCAATCTTTCTTTTTTTAAAAAAAAAAGCCGTATTTTCCCCCCCTTAAGAGAAAGAAGATTTGAAAGACAGGGTGAGAAGTTTCAGTGGCCTCTTTGAAACAACAACGCTATTATCAGTATGAATAAACCCTTAAGATTGTGGGAATATATTAACCATCCACTTCCCTAAAGAAAGAACTAGTGACAAAACGCTGCCGCAAGGCACAGAGGGCGATGTCTTCCCTCCACTGCAGCAGAGTAAGTCAGGAAATGAAGCTGAAGCCACAGCAGCCACAGATTAAAACAAAGCCTGCCACAGTCACTTGTGTACACTTGCACTTTTAAGCTTACATTTAAGAAATGGGCAAGCTTCCTTGCATTTACCACTTGATAAGTTGATCGCATGCATTCGCCCATGGTTTTAGAGAAGCTGAGAATAATGCACGGCTGCTGGGGGAACGTCTTCAAGACGGTTGTCAGGCAGCCAAGGACTTCCTTTCCTCTTCCCCACAAGTTAAGGGGCAGAAGCTCAAGAAATGTTGAAGCAACCACTATTTGCGCCTTTGCCCCTGCACCTAGCCTACTGCCCCTTTTGTGCAAAGCTAGATAAGCCTACCGTTTGGCTATGAGGTTGTTCATGTTGGCTTCGGAGAGCAGACCCTGCTTGCCACATTCTTGAAAGAGAAGGCTCGTGCAGTCACAGCTGGAAGAACCACCACCAAAAGAGGAAAAAAACATGTGTAAAAATGTATGAAGAAACATGGTCCATAATGGAGACAGACTGTTCTCTCGTTGGACCTTTTGGGGAAGGACACTAGATGGCACAAGGTGAGTTAAGGAAGAGATGGTGGGAATACAAGTAAAGGTGAAAGAATATAACTGGGAGGCACAGAAAGAATCCCATTAAAATGCCTCTCTTTGTTCGGGTATAACGTCCTTGCGTTTCAGCTGTCATAAAATTTGCAGTTTTTACTGAGCGCCATTTTTGACGTTGAAAATATAGTAACAATTGGGGAAAGGAGGAATACAAAGGATACCAGGATTCAACCTTCTAGTCTTCTCAGCGTTAAGGAAAGGACAAACCTTGAGTGGAAGCAACCGCTGCTGAAAGGCTCAAAAGGTCAAAAAGGATATGTGTGGTTTCAGTGACCGACACCTGCATGCTCTAAATTTCGCTTTGGGCCCAGTAAGGAAATTGCTCAACCTGTCCTGAAGGGGGTTGTGCTCCCCACTCAAGGATTGGTTAGCATTTTGAGAATGGCCACAGATACAGCTTTGTCTCTAGAGGCCTAAGTGACCCACTGCAGTATGTTTTGCATTTCTATCTGTGCTACTCCCAAGTTTTGCTTTCATGGGGAATATGTCATTTTAGCCACATAAACGCCTTCCGGGTAGAGACAGAAGCTTGCTCAATGCTGCCCAGCCAGCTTCCTAGTTGAGGAGCAGGGAAATGAACCCTGGTCTCCTCCATCCAAGCTCAATGCTCTTCCCATTACTACACAGCTACCTACAAGACCAACCAAATTGGTTGGCTCAATTCTGTAAACAAAGCACATTTGCATGTGTACACTCACTTCCTTTGCATAACCTATTGAGTTTTTCTGCCAACCATGAGAGAGAGGTCGCTAATTACTGAACGTTTCTGAGCCTCTATCCACTCATTTTCAAGGCTACTTTAAAGACATGCCACCTCAAAAATACCCCAAAAACCCACCAGAAACCTAAAACAAACATCTGGATTCTCAAGGTGCTGAATTATGCAATTCTGCACTTGCAAGTTGAGACCACAGGAGTGCAGAATGAACAGAATCCAGGAGTTGCTCATTGTACCCTACAGCTCATAGGCAGGCAATTTATCATGTATCATGCACAGAGCACATCCAGCCCTGGCTGAAGGATTAAGCGTTAAGAAAGAACCACCTCAAGTTTGTGCTTATGTTTCCATAACAGAACAAAGCGTTCAAGAGCTGGGCACAAGAAAATTGGACCAAACTGATTCAAAATACTACTTTATGCAAGAGCGACACCAACTGCTTCACACATTGGGGAGTTTGGGTCTTAATCTATCATGCAGAACAAACAGTTCTAATTGCGACATCAGCAGCAAACTTATGCATGGCGAATTCTGTTTACAAGGCTGTCCGCTTTCCCTGGCCCTTCCCCCAGTTCTAATCTCCTGTTATATCCCACCCAGCAGGGGGAAAACAGGGAATTTTCCTTGAAAAATTCCCATTTCAGATTAAACTGTGCTAGCTTCTAGTTTTCTGTTGTCAGTGCTATTGTTCTGTATTTTGTATATCTGTGTTTCCAACACTCTCTTTCGATGCTTTGAATGCTTGGTGTAAGCCGCTTTGGACACAGCGGCATGTAAGTAAACGCAGTCAACCAATCAACATCTGGAATGTTACTGTGTTAAGAAAACAGGGAGTAGGTTTGAGCAGTGAAGAAGAGGCCCAGTCCTCCCACAGGCCCCTTCTACTAACCAAACCAGTTTCTGTGACTGGTGACCACTTCAGAGAGCTTCTACCAGGTTCCGGTTTGGGTAACAAACACACCTCCCTCACAAATTGGTCCATTTAACTTCCTCTGGATGACAACCACCTCAGCAATTTCTCCCATTATCTAACCCTGCTCAACTCTGCCGTGTCTATCAGGTTGTTCCAATCTCAACCTTGACCGTTCTCCCACCTTGCGTGCCCCACCTCCAAATACCAAACTGGTTTTGGCCAAAATATCCCTCCAACCTAGTCTTCAATGCTCACTATTCAACTTGGTTCAATCGGGGGAAATAATGATGTGTTTATGTCCTGTCTCTAGTCACTTGCTGTATTTTTTGTGTTCAATTAAATACATCAAACAACAACAACAACATTAAATTTAAAAAGCAGCCTTCATCCTGACAGTAACACTAGGGTTGCCAAGCTCCCTAAGAGTTAGACCCTGAGATTCAAGGAGTGGAGCTTTGGAGGACAAAGGATGGTGGCTGACAGCTAAGAGAGTGGCATCTCAAGGGAGCAGAGACCCTGATAAACATGGGAGTGAAACTGAGAGAAGAACTCCCAGGCCAAGCAGGAAAAGCCCTTGGGCTCTGTCCCCTCTACTTGAAGGGCCACAAAGAAGGGGAACCTACTTGCAGCGTTGGTCGGCCTTGTCCAGAAGGGGCGTCAGCTTCAGGAGGAACTCAAAGGCACAATTCACATCTTCGGTAAAGTCCTGCAATTGCACTATTATTATTATTTTCTTCCTTACATCTAAAGGGTCTGCCAATGCTGTACTGGAATCCCCACCCATAATCCCCTATAAAAACAGGCCAAGGCAGTGCATCCCAATAAGCCCACTGAGAACATTAGCTCCTGGTCATTTCTTTTCGGCAAGTTTCATGCTACAGAATTTGCCATTGAACAAGCTAGAAAAAAAATTCCAGCAAACTTAAAGGGTTGGTTGTTTTGTTTCTCTCCATGCCCGCCTTTTGTGGTATAGAAGCTTGAACCACTTGATTAAGTAAACTGAAGCCCTGCAGACACACTGGTGAAGAATTACTTCTTTTGAACTGCTCTTTGCAAGTGGTACATTGCAGTTGGGGGTTTTATAGAGTAAGGGAGAATATGATAAATGTGTGTGGAACTGATTTTTTGTCCCCCCCAGATTTCATGTGGCATTGAATTTAGAAAGAAAAAGAAAACTTATGCTGAGGTTTGAAAGGGGAAATCTGAATAGCAGGTGATTTTTTTAATTTGTATTTTTTAAAGGAGGCAGTCTCAAAAGTTAAGCTTTGAGGCTAATTTGTTTTCATCTGCCTCTCTTAAAGACCGCATTAGATGACCTCTATGACTGGGAAGACCGGTCCGAATCCCACTTTAGCCATAAACTCACTCAGTGGCAGAAGAACTACTTTTTAACCAAAAGCTCCATTTAGCCCAGCATTCTGTCTAAGACAGCAGACAGCAGTCAAATGCCTCTGTGAAGTTCACAAAGAGGGTATGATGGAAATGCCTTTCTTCTTTGACCTAAAGCATGATAATCATAGAAATTCTGGCTCTTCATCCTTACCCATCATGGCTGGAGTCACTGATGGGCCTTGTTCTCACTGAAAATCCCATCTTTAACCTAAGCCCTCTTAATTGCAAAACTAAAATCATGCTTCGATTTTCCATTTTGCTTCCATTTTTCTTCCCAAATAATTTTTAGCAGTTCTAAACAAATACAGTGGTACCTCGGGTTACAAACTTAATTCGTTTCGGAGGTCCGTTCTTAACCCAAAACTGTTCTTAACCTGAGGTGCGCTTTTGCTAATGGGGCCTCCTGCTGCTGCCATGTCACCACTGCACGATTTCTGTTCTCATCTGGGGGGCAAAGTTTGCAACCCGGAGCAACTACTTCCAGGTTAGTGGAGTTTGTAACCCAAAGCGTTTGTAGCCCGAGGTACCACTGTAAATAGAACACTGACGTAGCTGTTGTGGTGATGATGATGATTTGCTTTTCAAAAATCAACCTTTACCTTTTCTCCTTGAGGATATTTTTTCAGTTTTACAAGTACTTGTGGAATCTGAAAAAGAGCAAAGTAAGAATTTAATAAGGGAGCTCAAAACTATCGCCCCCGCCCCATCTCCTTGTGAATTTCGCTCCCTGGTTCACACGTCCTGGACTGCCAAAAACTCCTTTGCCTTTTCACTCCCTTCCCCCTTTTCACAGCCCCTCCTCCTCCTCTTCCTAGACCCTGCAAGACAGTTGTTCTTGACTTCTGTTCCACTCAGTCCCATTGCCCTTTAACAATCCTCTGGCCCTCCAGATGTTGCTGAACTACAACTCCCATCACCCCCAGCAAGCATGGCCAAGGATGGTTCAGCCATATCACGAGCGTCCCAAGTTTTCCACAGCTGCTTGTAGTCCTCTTTCCCAAAACACTTTCCTACCTCTGTTCTCCCGTGAACCCTAACTGCACACAGACCCTGTGCAAACTGGCCTTTGCTTTCCTCATAAATGTCAAGCTGTTTTTCAACTTCTTATTACTATTATCTTCACACTCCGATGTTAGAACATTTCATGTTCCATCTACAAACATTCCATGACATGAAACTAGCCTAACTAATGCTCAGAAAAGGTTCAAAGTCAGTCTGGTTGCCGCTTCCGGTCTCCTTATCGACCAAGTCAAAGTCGCAAACTGGCTTAATTACTTCCAGTGACAAATCGGGGGGGGGGGGCGGCGCTAATGTGGTTGAGGGCGCTAAATATTAAATCGGAAGGTTAAAAATCTCAACACGGCTATGAAACCGATTTCTCCCTTGCTTTTGAAGGTAAGAAAGCATTTTGTGCATGAAACTGGAAATAAATATTCAAAAAACCAACAAACTCCTAAATGTAGAATTAGGCATGTCTAATCTGATCTTCATGCTATCATATGGCAACAAGCTCCAGAGATTAACTGTTTGCTATTTCTTTTGCTTTCCAGTTTGTTCAGGAGTGTGTGTGTGTGTGTGTGTGTGTGTGTGTGTGTGTGTCTTTCATACTTCTTAATTTATTCCTCTTTGCATGGCTGATAAGTTACATGATGTACTTGAGTTGCAATGGAGATTTACTGAGCAGGCAGGGAATGCTAAGTTGCAATTTTCTGGATCTCTTTGGGGGAATCTAGCAGCGTCACAAGTGTGTTTACCAAGAAAGCCAGGGAGAAGGAAGACAGAGCCATCTGGCTTATGTTTACATTGCAAAAAAATAAAAAAATAAAAGAAGTATATAGCTAAATACAGATACTCCTCCAGGCTCTACCAAGGATGACAGCCCAGAAAGAGCATAAGAAGAGATTGGTGTTTCCACTCACTATAATAGTGAATGGCATCCAACACCCCGGCTGCCAGTAGATCTGAGAACCTGCATTGATGCAGATGGGGGAAACTATGATTACAAAGGGCAAGAATTATCATGGCAGAGGTTACAGTGTGAGAGTAAAAGCATTTGAACAAGACCCTAGAGGACTTTGGTATTTCTTCCTTTTCCTTCCTAATCCCTAATGTTGCAGCTGCGTTGTGCCAGGACTGATACAGGGGCAGCCATACTTGATCCTGATCAGCAGCGTGTTTTACCAACCCAGGGTTCCTGAAGCCAGAGGTGAGGACTGGAGTAGAGTTGGCAGTAGTTACTGTTCTGTTGACCAGTCAAAAGCAGAAGGCTGGGCTCCAAAGTGCTCACAAGACTGGCCAATCCAGAGGTCTCGTGCTGCCTGCCAATTGCAGAGGTCGAGGTTGGACACACCTATCCATGCCTTCTATATCTGAAGAGAACTCCGGGCCCAAGCATACACTCATTAGGCTGGGTCCCAGCCAGAGTTCAATAAAGGTTTTAAGCAGAGATTGAGAATCTGTAGCTTTCCAGATGTCGTTCAATTACAGTTCCCAATTCCTGACCCGCTGGCCAAACTGACTCAGGCTGTTGGGAGTCTGAGTCCAATGACACCTGAAGGCCACAGGTTTAGATTCCCTGGTTGAGAACCTAGAAAGGAGCACTAGAGTGGTCAGGTTACTGAGACACTCTCCTTCCCCATTTTGCTTAAATAATATTTCTAGACCTTGCAGTTGCAGAAAACAACCACAGCCTTGAACATAAAACTCTCAGTTTCTGCTAAAAGTTTGGAATCAGTGTCCAGATACACGTCTCCAAAGGTGCCCCTATCAAAAAATGAAGCAGGGGACAGGGGGCTGCAGGTAGACCCCAAGGATAATTGGGTGGGTGTGTGCAACCAGGTTGGAAAAACAGGAATATCAACCAGATATTTGGGAGAGTCTATCAAGCCTGTGCAATGTCAGAAAATAGAAGCAGAAAGAAGCCTGATGCAGGGGGGAGAAAACTGTTTAATTACGGAGAAGCAAGGTAGGTGAGGGATAACGTGAAACCCATTCACTTCACCTAGGTCAGCCACACAGCTCAGGAGGAAACATGGGCTAAGGCAATGTATCAGGAATGCAGGGACTGCTTTATATCAAGTCAGACTATGGGTCCCTCTAGTTCAGTACTGTCTGCACCAACTGGGAGTGACCAACTGTCTCCAGGATTTCAGGCAAGGGATGTTCCCCAGCCCTCACATGAAGATACCAAAGGTTGGACTTTGGGCATGCAACACATGCGCTCTACCACTGAGTTACTGCCCCCTCTCTTGTACCTGATGCCCTAAAACGACCATGAATTTATCCAACTTCCCATAACCCTTTTGGTCTCTGTTGCTTGGTAAGCTGGGAAACTCAGATGATAAACAAAGGAACTTTACGAAAGGCTGAGCCCCAGCTATTTGGGCCTAAGGGCACCTTACCTTGAGGAATGTGAAGGCTGTCCATTTGAGTTCCTCTGTCCCTTCAGGAGACTCAATCAGCCCCACAAAGCAGGCTTTCCAGATTTCCAGAATGAAAAGTGGGGACGGAATGCGCTAGCAGGGAGAAGAGACACAGGGAGAGAAGGCCTCAGGGTCTTCCTCAGGGAACACAGTTTGGATTCAGAGTGGCACAGTACTGACAAAAAAAAAGGCTGGATGCAAGATTTCTAGCACACTCGTTGGACTATCCAGCAGTCCTATTCCACCATCACCTCAACTTCTCATGCAAAGCAGACTTCCCACACTCTGAAGAGCGTTGTGCATCATGATCCTTCAGCCAAGAGTCCACAAACTGCAGCTGGGCTTGATAACCTGTAATAATTTATCCTAGCCAGCAAGAGTAAGTGCCTAGAAGCACCGACAGTCCCTCTTTCTACAACGCGAGTGCAGCGCCCCCCCTTCCTCCTCCCCCACTCACAAATGAACGAGAAGAGCTTAGAGGACAGATGGCATGGCGCCTGTGTACTTCTCTTATTAGAAAGCAGATACGGCCCCCACCTCCCTTGCAAGTATAACATATGCTACTAAATAACAGAGCCTCCCTCTAGTCCTGGTTTTCCCCAATCCCTGTCCAACAGCTCTTCACAAAAATACTGCCTCCCTCTCAGATCCTCCAAACTCTCTCGACTCAAATAGCTTCTTCCTTGTTCTTTGCACCCACTTCTACACAGATTCATTCATGCCCATACAAAGTGAGGTAGGACTCCAATTTCAATAACAATATCCTTTCCTATCATAGACACCCGCTCCATGTTTTGCTCTCTTCCTTGCAGCAACACACACACAACCACACACAACCACATTGTTCTTTTACTAGGAGCTGCACCCCTGCTCACCAACCCCCTGCCATTCCTCCCACATTAACCCCTAGAGCTTCCTTCCCCTTCCCATCCCATACAATTACTAAGCTTGTTTTCCACCTTCCCAAGCCATTTCTGAAGCCACTTCTCTTTTGTATTCTGCAGCCCCACCATGTACCTGTTTTCACCTTTACCCTCATGTCCATTCCTCCCTCCTTTACCGCAAGCTCCCCTATACACCACGTCTGTGGGTAACTTCCTGCGTCTTCCTCCTACACAATTCAACTACTAAGCACCCTTACGTCCAGTTATGAAGCCACCATCCCCTCCTACACTTCAGAGAGAAAGAGAGAAGCATCACAAGAAAACTTGGGCTTTGGTCATCAGCCTGCTAAGTGAGTAACGGCGGGAGAAATTATGCTGAAGCATTCTCTCCAGAGACTAGAAGCTCCCAGCTCTCCCAAGTTTCCAACCAAAAGCACAGAAAGTTTGCTTTAAAAGCTACATCTGCCTTTTTCCTCTTTCCATCCCCAAACTTATAGGGCAAAGCCAGCACTATACAGCCAGTATAGGTCTCCTACTGTCATCTTAACTCTCTTTAATTTTCCATTGTTTTAATTTGTATTTCAAAAGAGAGGTACAACAGATGCCCAGACTAGATAAACAGTTCGCCTCATGGTAAAACTGATCCTGGACAGTACCGTTTCGGAATGCATAGGAGGGACCACAGGACTGAATTCACTGCTATACAAGCACATTATTCATATAGAAAACTCTGTGCCAGGGGGAAAGGATCTAGTCCAGTCTTCCTACAACATGCTAGCTACCTAAGTGCTGGATGTTCTTCTTTATTCATGGAAGAAAATTCAAATATGCAAGCCCCCAGCTGCAGTCTGAAGTGGAACATTTCTACCATGTGATGGGACTCCAATGGGAGTCACAGACGCAGTGACACAAAGCATCCTTCCTATGGTCCAGCCATACCTGCATCCTTTTGACCATCATGAGTTGCTCCACCAGCGGCTGCGGCTCTCCAGTCAGGTTCATTGTCCCCTCTAGCAGCACCACGGCATGGATCGTGGGGAAGCCAGTTTTGTTCAGCTGTTCCGCGTGCACAGAGAGCATAGTGGGGATACTGTGTGGAAAATTGGGACAGGGAGGAAGAGGAGGTATTAGAAGTTCGGTTCCGTTTGTGTACAGAGAGGAAAAAGCTTGCTCTTCACCATGCAGCTGCCATTTTCCCACCTCTTGACAAGGCCGATGCACTCCTCTGCCTGGCTTTGCAACTGGCTGTTGCTGATGTGTCCTAAATTGTCTCCCAGCTTGGAAAGAGATTGTTCGATCGCGCTCCAGGAAGCTAAAAAGGAAAAGCAGCATTTTAAGTTCCAATCAGCTCTTAGCCCTTGGTAATAGATTTTCCCCAGTTCTGCTGCCTTGGGAGATGCTAGGGGTTGACCCCAGGACCTTCTAAGAGTGTAGTTTACCTCTTTGTGAAACCGTTTCCTCAAACGGAGGCTAGGTAAATTTATTAATGTTTAGGGTCACACCTCGAACGCTGAAGATGCTGCTTCCATGTTGAACTTTTTAAAAAGGCAATGGAGACTCTGAAGTTTAAAAACAGGCATCAGAGTATTTCCAAATATTAATTTTTTTGAGGGAAAGCTGTGAAACAGCAGGCTTGCCCAATAGGGAAGCAGCAGTGCAATCTCCATGTAGGCAAAGGAGAAGAAACAAGGCCCGTGAATAAAGAAGACTGGGGTGGTGCTACTTCAGATCTTGTAAAGGGCCCTTGTGATTTTCGGGGGGGGGGGGGATCCATACCAAAACTACAGGAGAGTCCTGTAGTTGCCACTGGAATCTTGGATTCAAATCAAGCCCTACAGTTCTCAATGTAAATATTTTGCCTCTCTCCCACAAGACCACCAGCCACTTACGTGTCTCTTCCAGCTTGGCTATATGAATCAGGGCCCGGTTCTTGGTGCTGCCCAGGATCTTTGCCAGCCGCTCCAGGCACATCGTGAGCTGGTTCTCAGCAGACCCCTGCTCCAGAGGCTCCTTCATTTTCTCTGTGTAGAAGGCAGCACAGCGCAACATCCAATTGAGGACACTCATCAAGGCACGGCAGAGGCCAATGCATTCTTCTGCCTTGCCATGGCAGCTGAACAAAAAGCAAAAAAGAGAGGGCAAATTCAGTCACATGACTTCGGTGGCCCTAAGAACTTCACTTTGGGACACCTGCATCATTTTCCAGGTCTCATTGCCCCCCCCCAAGCTCCACTCACATGTGCGTGGGAACTTGGGAGACAACGAAAGAACCACCAAAAGAAAAGTGTGCCGGGGACCATCCAGTAACGTCTCAGGGGGAGGGGGAGAGGCAGGACAGAGATGGGAGCAGAAAAGACAACTTGAATGTGAACACAATCAGGGACGGTCTTCTTCTATTTGTGTTCTGCTTTACTGTGCCAAATGACAGAGGCAGGACAAGAAGCCTGAACTAGTAGAAAAACAGTGAATGGCCATCTAAATACCTTTTCATGTCCCCACCTTCATCTTCAACTCCATTCCCATGCCTCACACTCCCTATTTTTGTGCAGTCCCCTTTGCCCTCTGATTTTCACCTTCATTCCCCTTTTTCCTACCCCCTCCTTGCTTTTCTGAACTCTCTCTTGCACACAGATAACCCCCGTTTCCTTGCCTTATCCCCTCTCTCCTTCTGTTTACCCCCAGCTCTGCTATTTCTCCTCATTAAAACTAGTTTGCTTGCTTTTTTAAAAAAGAACAGTCCCTCAGTGTTTCTCCATCCTTGCTTTACTCAAATTTCTGTTGTTGTTTTAGTACAGCAAGAAGGGAGGAACACTGAAAGGGGTTGGAAATTGTTGTTGGAAATTTTCCTCTTCCTCAGCTGCCTCATGCGAGTTTCACAGTAACTGTCAGTGATGTCTGAGCACTCTAGGTGCCCTTACTGAAGAGATACAGTAGCCTCATTCCTGAGAGTCCCAATGGTCTGTCAAGTCTAGGCATATTTACTATGTGAAGATGCTGAATGCAATAGACAAGGGACTGGGTGGCGGCAGATGCATTTATGACATAAGGTGCGTGCCTTCATCCACAGGAAGTAGTGAATAAAAGCTGCGAAGCTGTGTGTGGTTCAGTGAAAAGAAGACCAAGTACATTTTCAGGGACTCTGCGGAGCCTATTAAGAGACTAAACTGCAAACCAGGAAGTTCCTGGTTCAATTCGTATCTTGCAATAGGAACTTGCCAGGGTGCTCAGGCAAGCCATTATCTCAGCTTCAACCCTCCGTCTGCAATATAAGCGTAATGACACTCAGGTACCTACCTTACGGGACTATTTTAAGAATCACTGAGATAATATGTACGTAAAGCTATTCACAAGGGACGTGGGTGGTGCTGTGGTCTAAACCACAGAGCCTAGGACTTGCCGATCAGAAGGTCGGCGGTTCGAATCCCCACGATGAGGTGAGCTCCCGTTGCTCAGTCCCTGCTCCTGCCCACCTAGCAGTTTGAAGGCACGTCAAAGTGCAAGTAGATAAATAGGTACCGCTCCGGCGGGAAGGTAAACAGCGTTTCTGTGCGCTGCTCTGGTTTGCCAGAAGCGGCTTAAGTCATGCTGGCCACATGACCCGGAAGCTGTACGATGGCTCCCTCAGCCAATAAAGCGAGATGAGCGCCACAACCCCAGAGTCAGCCACGACTGGACCTAATGGTCAGGGGTCCCTTTACTTTTAAAAGCAATTCACAATAATGTGACATATCCTTACTGCCAGCACACAGCAGTACTTGGAGAATGTAGGGACTCAGAGAATGGCTCAAGTCGCAAAACTCTGTTGCCCAACCTCCTTAAGCCTGCAAGCATCTCTGCCCAATACTGTTTTACTGGGGCTTCACAGCAACCCCAGGAAGGGAGAGGATAATGGGGGATTTCTCCTACCATCCTGGGACGCCAGAATCAATGACTGGAAGAAATCAAGCATCTGGAGCTTGCACCCTGTGGCACTGCTGGGTACACTGTCACATTCACCATCTCCACAGTACTTGCCTTTGTTTAAACAAATTAAAAAGGGGAAAGGAAAATTATCCAAGCCTATGATTAAAGTGGCCTGGCTCAGAAAGCGAACGAGGATTGAAGAAGAAACCCTCTCAATGGGACAAGCACTACTGCAATAGGAACAAATAATCCCAGACCTGAAGGGTTTTGATCAAATTGAAAAACAGAAGATTGAATTAACCAGGGAGAGGATTAAGTCGTCGGCTTTGTATATGGCTGAGAACAGCTGTTTATCACCATTCTGGTGACAGGTTAATATTCATTGTTTCTGTTTTCTTGTAGGAAGGGAGAGTTCCTGCTTCCTCCTATTTCAGTCTGCTCCAGTGTACTCACCTGTTAGCTCTAAATAAACTAAGAGCTCTTATAGAAAAAATATCACAGGCTTTGTCAAGATTTTAGAAAGGCAGGGGTTTTATTCTTTGATAAAAGCAAAGATATAAGAGTTCCATGAAAAACTGTGGTTCTCCTGTATGGAGGGCAGAACTGGGTCTCCTGACTTGTGTTCTTTTACTGATACATCATTCTGCACATTTTAAAAAGCGCATTTCTAGTTCTCACGGTTGCGAATATAACATATAACATTTGCAATGTCAGTCACTGCATACAACTCAGGGGGTTTCAGCACATATTGCTGCCAATTTAGGCATTTTCATTGTAAGGGCTCTTCATCCTCCAAACTCCAATGCTCTGTATTTTGTGGGCACGCATATGCATGTCCTGTACAAACTCTGTCCCTAGCTACTTACGACCACTGGACAAGGCACTTGATGAATCTATATTTTTAAAGTAGCACATTGTCACATTTAATACTGGCACACAGCATGTTATATAGGCTAAAAAGCTTTCCTGTGGCTCCCCATTACTTTACATCACAAGTCTAGTAGCTGATTTTGAGCTACAAGGACTTCTGTGGCTTGGGCCAACCTACCTAAGAAAGCACCTCCACTCTAGTATGCCATCATAGGGTGGTATCCAATGCTGGTCATACTCAGAATAGACCCGCTGAAGTTAATGGACATGATGAACTTTGGTTCATTGTTTTCTTTTTTCTCCCCCTACCCCCACCTTCAGTTCATTATTTTCAATAGGTCTGCTCTGAGTAGGACTAGCATAGCACACAGCCCCATTGTTTCCAAGTATCAAGAACATACTCTAAAGACACTCTGGACTAGCCAGGCCTTGGTCTGATCTAGCAGTACACTTTCTTGTTCTTTTTTCTTTTCTTTTTTGAAATTGTTTTTTATTTTACAGATATAAATTTATAATCATACACAACCATATAAAGAGATTACTTTGAATATTGAGACTTCTCCCCATCCCCTCCATGGGTCCTACTGTCAATGTTTTCAACTGCATATTATTTCGTAATCTGTATTTTATACCTACCCATATTGTCCATAGTATCTGTTACATTACAAGGGATATTAAAACTCTGCCAATGTTTTCATCAGCCACTCCTAAATAAATTATAAACTTTTCCCATTCTTTCTTGAATTTCTTGTCTTCTTGGTCCTTGAGCTTTCTGGTCAGTTTTGCCTTTTCAGCGTAGTCTTCCCCTTCTCTAATCTTTTTCTGGTAAGCATTTTGTTGGGTGAAGAAACCTCTCATTACACTTTCATGTTCTTACACGGGCAAGTATACTGTATATCCAATGCAAATTAGTTCTGCTTTAATTATTAGGAGATGTAGTTGGTGGCTGTTAGTTGTTGTTTATGTCTGCTGTGAGTCAATTTCAGTCTTGTAGGAGCTTTATTTAAAAAGCTAGAATTACCATGATCCAATTTACAACGCAAGAGTGCATACTTAGGATCGCCTAACAGTCAAGGCACAAAATAAAAAAATTCCTTTCAATAGCACCTTACAGACCAACTAAGTTTGTTCTTGGTATGAGCTTTTGTGTGCATGCACACGAAAGCTCGTACCAAGAACAAACTTAGTTGGTCTGTAAGGTGCTGCTGGAAGGAATTTTTTTATTTTGTTTCGACTACGGCAGACCAACACGGCTACCTACCAGTAACTAGAGTCAAGGCACAGTTCAGCAAAACAGAGTACTGTACTTTTCCCTGTATAAGACGCCCCCATGTATAAGACGCCCCCTATTTTGAGGGACTCAGATTTAAGAAAATGGGGGGGAGATGGCACAGAGTTGTTGAGCTTTTGGGGGGGGGATTACCCATGGTTTTTGAGCTTTTTTTAGGGGGGACTGCTGAAAATCACTCATCCGCACACGTCGCAAAGTCTGCTTCTCGTCTGTCCCCTCACTGGCAGAAGCTGCCAATCACCCGCCCAACTGCCGCAGCGTCAACCAATCAACACCAACCATTGACACAGCAACCAATAACATGCACAATAGCTGCTAACAGCTGCGGCAGCAACCAATCAAACATCCACCCTTATACCCATATATAAGACGACCCCCGTTTTTCAGCATGATTTTTAAAGAAAAAAACCTAGTCTTATACACGGAAAAGCACGGTACGTGCTCTTATTTAAGAACCTAAGGAGTCCCTTGCCAGATCAGATGGAGGCCCACCTACTCAGTAATTCTTTTTCAACAATCCCAAGAACCAGCAGGTGCCAGGTGGTCCATTAGCTGATTATTGTTCAGCTTCTGCCCACTTTGGATTATGTCGCACTACATACGTGTGTACTGGAAAGTATCCCTCACTCCCTACCTGAGCCGGTCACAGAACATATCCATGATTTCCAGCAATGACTGGACACAGAGGTCTCGGGAGAAGTCATCAAACTGAAACAGGTAAAACAAAAGCAAGAGCTGGTGTCAAAAGAAAAGAATGCAAAACACGGACTTGGGACAGATTCAAAAGGGAATGAAGACAAGTTCACGGCATGTAAAGCTACCAGCCATGATGGCTGTGTACTGCCTGTTGCTTGGAATCACAAGTTGGGAGTGCCATTGTGCTCAGGTCTTGTGTGCTGGCTTCCCATAGGCACCTGGCTGTCCACTCCAAGAATAAGATACTGGGCTATATGGGCTTTTGGTCTGATTTATAAGGCTCTTCATACATTCTATGAGAAGAGAGAAATCAAAGCGTGAAAAGAAAGAACTGTGAGCTGGAAGTGCATACCTGGTCTTATAAACACAGCTACGAGTCACAGCTGGGTGATATCTGGTTTTCAACATTGCAATATATCACCAGGTAAACATCGCAATGTCTGAAATATGGATGGAACTATGTAGAGGCGAACAGTAGGGCTGGGTGATGTCTGGTTTTCAGCTTTGTGATATATCACCAGCTAAACGCTGTGATATACTGATATATCACAATGTCTGAAATAAGTGTGGAGCTATGTAGAGATTTTGGCTGGCTTCCTGGTTTTTCCCACATTTAGATTTTTGCATAGCGCGCACACACACAATTTGCAATATATTGCCAGGTCAAAAATTATGAAACCAATATCGCGATACGAACTATTTTGGACGATATAGATCAGGCCTAGGTCAACAGAATGGTGAAACCTAATGTGGTAGATGGGGAAGAGGAGATATGATCAGCCCCAAGACTGTGGTCATGAAGAGATTTCAATCCTCAGTAGTCTAAGCAGAACACTTGTACACTGGTTTCCAGTTTCCATTTCACATTTTGCCTTGCAGATCCTTGTAAGACTGATATTCTTGTGATTTTATAGTCCCTGACACAGTGGCCATTCATGTCTACATTCTCAGCAAAACCACTTAGTAGATTGCTCCGAAGACTGTACTACTCGAGAGTAGAGTTGTGGGACAGTGTTTTTAAATACGTCATGTAAAAATTACATCAATCTCACACTTTACATAGAAAACTGACACACTCAGGAGATGGCTAGGAAAGGACCTTGAGATCCTTGTTTTCTTCCTACACAGGCTTTTGTTAATTCCATTTGAAGTGGTGCAGTTCAAAAATACAGTACAAGTTTCTTTTTCTTATAATCAAATGCCATATAAATTTTTATGAAATAAATTAAAAAAGTAGTACAGTTTATCACAGTTTCTCGAATTGAGTCCAGCAGTGCACCAGTTCCAACGCATTTTTTTAGAATCAGTACTGGAGTTTCAGAATTATTTAACTCCAGCGATGTTCTGAACCAGCTGCAGCACCTCATATAGTCTAGGCTGGCTGTTACAAGTGCAATGATAATTGCACCAAGGCCATCTCTGCCTAGAAGGGGCCATAATTAGTACGCCTAGCTGATGAAAGGTCGCTTTGTCCCATGTATGCAACTCAAGCATCTAAGGAGGGGGCTGGATGTAACAGAACATCCCCACCCCCAAGTTACAAACCTGCTCCTTAAGTGAGAGTGCAACTCAATCCAGAATGGGCAAAACATCAACTCCCAAATCCACTGAATCACCAACTATCCTATCAGCACCTTGGTTTTGGTTTGCATTTTGCCTTGGCTATCCATTAAAGAAATCCAGAAGTGATTTGGAGTCTTCCTGGTGCAAAACGAGGGGAGAGGGGGCAAGAGGGGGTCCACGGCAAACACCCTCTGGGGCATACATTTTTAAACTAGGCCCACTTTGCAAATACTTTAGTAACTGACTAAAGAAACTCTGCAAAGAAACACTAAAGGAAAAGTATTGTATGTTCCATTTGTTGTGTACCATTTGGATTTCTGCTGGCTTTTGTCTGCTAACCTCTACTCAGCCTACACTTCTACAGGGTTGGAAGCCCAGCAGTGAAGAGGATGTTTTTATATATGAGAGTTCAAGTTCAACTCCTGGTAGCTGCAGTTAATGGATCTCAAGAAGGAGGTGAGCAAGACTACCATGTGAGAGGCTCAGGAGAGGTGGATTCAGATCTGCTGCCTGCTTAAACATCATGATCTATTTTTTCCAGTTTAGCAAGGGCTTTGTAAGTCTTTTAAAATCTCAAATTCTGTAAAGAACCCAGGATTCTGAAATAGCGACAAACCATGCCATTTCTATTTTATTTTCTACCATATTGTGAAGATTATACTGATTCACTTGTGAAGGACTAGGAAAGCAGGGAAAGGCACATGTCTGAAAAAGAAGGCAGGGATAAACTCGGAGAATGCTAGAATGCAAACAAGCCTCATCTCCTCTCAAAACTTCAGTTTAGCAAAACCTGCAACGTATATTCTGACAGCTTTCAGCCATCAATAGTAACTACATTTGTACATAACGATGAGGGCTAGAAACATGCCATTGCTGTGCTTCTCTTCTGAGCTTACAAAAGCTGCTGGTTGTATATCATACACAATGCTGCAGTGAAGTTCCCACAATCCCACAGTATTCACTGATACCTTCTATCAAGGGATATTGGGAAAGAAAGTGGTGCTCAGGATTTAGGTAAAGGTGGAGAGAGAAATGCTGGAATGCTACCTTGCTGATGGCCATCAGAACTGAAGAATAGGACACCATCTGTAAACAATACAAAGAGAGAGAGAGAGAGAGAGATGGTTACAAGCCAAAGATAACATTTAAACAAACCAATCCACAAACAAGCCTTGCCATTTCGACCGCCGAGGGGGGGCGACAAGGTCACTTAACAGGGACGCAGCTTGTTGCTCAAGCACTGGTCTGGCACAAATTTAAACAGACATTTTTAGGTGATGGCATATTTGCTTCACATCAACTTTACAGTGAGCAAGTAGAGAGGAGGAAAGAAGTTAAAAAGCAACTGAAAAGCTTCTCTCTGTGGCGAGGGGTCTTGCAGGCATCTTGTATGCACACAGCCAAGCACCTCTTGTAGTAAGAGGAAGAGAGAGGAAAGGCCATTTGTCATTTTCATCTTCGGAAAATTGCTATGTGGGAAAACGCATTGTCAGTATCAACTTGGCGTAAGGTGAACAAATATCCCAAGATTCTCTTTCGGACCCGCAGGTCCTTTAGTAGCAACTGCTTAGTAAACATTCACTTGTTTTTCTTTCTAATTGGTCCAACAGCCTATAACAACCCTTGAACACCTAAACCAAAAATATAACGTTCAAGACTACACTGGCACAGAATTCTTCAGAATTCTGCTTCTTCAGATGCACACGTTTTACTTTTTAAAATAGCAAGTGTCTAGCGCTTGTGGTTGTAAAGATGTGCCCGAAAACGTGTGGGTAACTTATTTTGAAATTTCTGAATCCAGAAAAGGCACTTAGTAAGATTTCCAGTGGTTTGGGGTAGAGCTTCAATGCCCTGCATATCACCTTCCCTAAAATTTAGCAAAACCAGAATAAATTATGCAAACGAGTAAGAACTACAGAATCATGCAAAATAAATAAATATTTGTTTATTTATTTCATAAAAATTATGCATTGTAAAACAAATAAAAGTGGTCAAGTACTTTAGAAAGGAAAAAAGCAGGAAAACTTTGTTGAGTTACTTAGGTCATGGTTCTGTCAAAAAATCAATTTTTTAAAAACGTACAGATTTCCTAACTAAATAATTCACCCATTAATGTGTTTACACACTCTGAAGATGAAAGGGTCTACGATGGGATTATTACCTGGGAACTAATGGCATACTTCAGATAGGACAGGAGCAGTGGGTTTGGCGATGGGCCAATCATGGCTTGCTCAAGAAGTGCTTCTGCAATTAAAAAGAGAAGGAAAAAAAGGAAAGAAATTCAATCTGGGAAATGTATATACACTCTCATGAAGAATAAAGACTATTATGGCCACAGCCTCTCACAAAACGTGGGGAACTCTCAGGAATTGCAAGGATGCTATAATATTGCATTCTCTGGCGGCGGCGGCGGAGTAAATAATTCAAGGAAGAAAAGAGGCAGTTGGTGGCATTCTGGATAGGAAATGGACACCGTGGCCACACACTCTCCCCATGTGCAGAAATTGCTGCAGTCAATGCAATGACCTCTGCCTGACCTCTGCAGCCTCAGATGGAAAAGGACATGTACACAGACTCTTCTCAGACCTCACCTCTGCTCGCTGGCAGCAGCAGCGTACGCAGATGCTTTTTCCTAAGACTGAAGGTGGTACGGAGGGAAGGGGCTGTGGAGAGATGGCAGGCAAGATCTCTCAGCAGAATGAGCACCAACTGCTGGCATGCGCTTCCCAGTGGCAGCCTGCCAACATGCCAGATTTGGCAAGGCTGAAAGGGGCAGCATACGTCTTATCTGCTCAGTCAAGCTTTTGATTAACCATCTGAATAACTACAGGGGTATGGGGAGGGATTTTCCAAGTCAAACCCATTTTGCTGTGTGCCCTTTAACTATTACTCCCCGCTCCCTTTTCGAATCAGACCCAAAAAAAGGCCACAATCCCCCGTTGCATGGTTGGCCCTCTTTGCCTACCGGTGTATAAATGACACACCCCGCCCATCAGTGCCGGATTTACATATAAGCTAAACAAGAACTTTGAATTTTATTGTTATTCATGTTTTTATACTGTATTTTATGCTGCTTCTACAATTAAGTGTTTTAAATTTGTTGTTAGCCGCCCTGAGCCTGGTTTTCTGAACCGGGAAGGGCTGGGTATAAATAAAAATTTATTATTATTATATTAGGGCCCCACTCTCTTGGGGGCCTAAATTTTTTTAAAAAGGAAACAAAAAACCGGGATGTACATTTCCAAAATATAAGATAAAAAACAAATAAAATAAAACCTACATACAGATTAGGTTACATAATTAGGTCCACAAATTACCATATAGCATATATTCAACACAAAAAAACAGTGGCAATTTGTTGTTGACAAAGGACAGCTGGACATATAGAGCGCCCCATTACCTTCAGTAGCTTAGGGCCTCATCAAACCTAAATCCAGCCCTGCCTCGCATCAACATCCACAATGTACTCAAAAGGTCGCCAACCACAACTAGAAAGAGACTACACCAAAGGCAAACTAACAATTCAGGCGATGCACACCTTCACAGTGAACCACACCCCATCAACAATTTAGGCCCAGCGAGGGGCTACCCCAAACAGCAATCTCAGCCATTAAGTTGTTCCAGTGTTAGCAATCGCTAGGCCTAGCCAGTGGTGCTGCATCCTATGTCTAATGCTATTGCTTACAATGCATCGTTTCTCAGTTATCTGTATTCTGGAGTTGCCCGTAGCAACAGCTACAGCCACCACAGGTGTGCCCTTTTAAGGCTGACCAGCCCACTCAAGGCCCAGTTTCCTACAGTCCTTCCTAAGGTACCCTTAGCAACCGCTAGGCCTGCTCACAGTTCCATCTACCCAAAGCAGTTCACAACATGAGGACTTCCCTCCAATGGACATATCCATCTCCTATGACCTTTGGAGAGTTATCAATGTCAACACCGTGATTATTCCTCCTCCAACTACTACAGCTACTCACAAAGGCACCCATCATTTACAGTCCATCCACGGCCTTCGTGTGGAGGAGAGTTTCCACAGCTTACGCAGACATAAAGTTGTCACGTCCAAACAAAGAACCCAAATCTTCTGTGGTTCAGCTGGAAAACTCCAGAAGTCACGCAGGAGTACAGTGGTGCCTCGCAAGACGAAATTAATCCGTTCCGCGAGAGTCTTCGTCTAGCGGTTTTTTCGTCTTGCGAAGCAAGCCCATTGACGGATTAGCGCTATTAGCGCTATTAGCGGTTTAGCGGCTATTAAAGGCTTAAAGGCTTAGGGGATGAGCTGCTAAATGGCTATTAAAGGCTATTAAAGGCTTAGCAGATTAGATAAAGGGGGGGGGAAGCGAAAAAAAAATCTCAAGACTCGCAAGGTATTTTCGTCTTGCGAAGCAAGCCCATAGGGGAATTCGTCCTGTGAAGCAACTTCAAAACGGAAAACCCTTTCGTCTAGCGGTTTTTCCGTCTTGCGAGGCATTCGTCTTGCGGGGCACCACTGTATTAATGATGATCACTGCGGTTTATAGTTCATCATTAATCCACATAGTATGTTACAAAATTAAACAAAACAGATCCCAGCCATAAAATCTTTGCCGCCTTAAAAAAAAAAAGTACTGTGCAAACTTAATTCCAAAGCTTGTACTGTACAAGAAAAGATAACTAAAATGACCATAAAAGTGTCATCTGGGTTTTGAAAAGAAAAGAAATTATTAAAACAGAAGAGGAATGCAAGCAACAGCCAAAAGAGAGGGAAGCCCAGAAAACTACAGGGAAGTGGTAACACAAAATTCAGTAATATATAAGAATTCCAAGTATCACATATATAATATTTCCCTAAAAAGGAAGCTTTTAGTCCTTAATGTTATGAAACCAAGTATGACAACCTGTGGACAGTGTCTACTTAGGTCTCAGGTTTCAGGATCTAGAGGGCAACATGGTCTGAATGTGTACCTGTATTAGAAAATTAAATCTGAAACAAGTTTAATTTTCACTGTGGTCCCATTCAGATGGAACAGCGAACTATGGTTTATCATTATGTGAACAAGCCAAGGAGAATCTGGGGCTTGCATGTCGTCTTCATCCTCTGGTGTGCCCATGAAGAGGTGCTCAGACACTTCCACTTCTGTTTGTAATTTACTACAGATTAGCATTATGTTCTAATCCAGACAAACAACAGATAAACTATGGTTTAACCATAGTTCTCTACTTGAGAACTGCCAACCTAGCAGTTCGAAAGCACACCAGTGCAAGTAGATAAATAAGTACTGCTGCGGCAGGAAGGTATACGGTGTTTCCATGCGCTCTGATTTCCATCACGGTGCTCCGTTGTGCCAAAAGCGGTTTAGTCATGCTGGCCACATGACCCGGAAAGCTGTCTATGGACAAACACCGGCTCCCTCAGCCTGAAAGCAAGATGAGCACTGCAACCCCATAGTCGCCTTTGACTGGACTTAACCATCCAGAGGTCCTTTACCTTTACAGCATGATTTGAAAATAGGCTTGCTCCAAAGTTTAAACAAGACATAAGATTGATTTGAACTCTATACTACTCATTCTTGCTCCAAGAAGTCAACCAGGAGTTTTGCTCTCATAACTCCACCCATTACTTCTTCTCAATCACTCCAGTTCTAGCAATCAGAACATTAAGAGGCCCCAGAATAGTTGAGTAGGTCTGAATTCCCTTAGGTCACTCCTTCTGCCTTTCTTCTTCTTTAATTTTCAATGCACACAATGTGAAAGTGATTCTTCTAATTATTATAACTATGTGCTCTTTAATTCATTTCAATACCACCTTTTGAGCTATATCAGAACCACACATCAGCCCAACGACCAAAAAACCCCAAATTTAAACTTTCCAAAGCCAACTTAAAACATTGTGTAAGTTTTTAGATGCGTTTTCAATGACTGCGAGATGTGCAATAAAATTGAAGAACCGGTAAGGAGATAGACCTGCTAAAGTTACAGCTCATCAAAAGGCCTTCCAGAAACAGATGAGTCTTAACAAAATGTTTGAAGGCCACTGCAAGCCAGTCTGATAACCTCAGTTTAATTGGTTGATTAACCAACAAAAACTTTAGTTAATACACTGGCAAGAGCCTAAGCAAAGACAAATTTTAACAGAGTTGAGAATGGTGTGGCTTGCTCATAACACTAAGCCGAACTATGGCTTAGCATGAACACAGGTGTGAGGGTACCCAGAGAGGAACTTGCAGCCGCTTTATTCCTTCTCTGGGCCTCCTGCTGCGAGCTAATCCATGGTTTGGCTTAGCATGTCATCTAAACCCAGGCCTTTTAGTTTGTCTTGCTCCACACAAATCACAAGCTGTAACCAAGGTTTGTTCCTGGTTTTCCAGCCCATGGCTTCTCTGAAGCAAGGCAAACCACCATGCAACATCAGATGGCTGAGAGGTGGACGGCCCCACCCACCCACCTGCCAGTGTGGCCTGCAGGGAGTTGAGGAATTTTTGGATCTGGCCCACCAGCCAAATTCCCCACCCCGTAATAAATCATAGTTTGTTGAACACAAACCGTAATTTGCCTACGAACTAGGCTGGCTATCATGCTAAACCATGGTTTGGTATTATGTTTGAAAAATGGTACTGGGGTACAGCAAAAAAAAAGTGGATATACAGTGGTGCCTCGCAAGACGAAATTAATCCGTTCCGCGAGTGTCTTCGTCTAGCGGTTTTTTCGTCTTGCGAAGCAACCCTATTAGCGGCTTAACGGATTAGCGCTATTAGCGGTTTAGCGGCTATTAAAGGCTTAGCGGCTTAGCGGATTAGCTGCTAAAAGGCTATTAAAGGCTTAGCGGCTTAGATAAAGGGGGGGGGAGCGAAAAAAAAATCTCAAGACTTGCAAGACATTTTCGTCTTGCAAAGCAAGCCGATAGGGAAATTCGTCCTGCGAAGCAACTCAAAAACGGAAAACCCTTTCGTCTAGCGGGTTTTCCATCTTGCGAGGAATTCGTCTTGCGGGGCACCACTGTACATCCTTTATGTGGGCAAATGGGGAGACACAAGTCAAGGCACACACAGATCTGGCAAATCGGTCTCTGTCTAATTATCTGCATTTATCTTCATAACAGGAGTAGGCAGAGGCAATGTCAGTAGCAGCCTCTCTCAAAACTGCCCACAACTTGAGTCTTAAAATACAAAATATAAAACAATTGATGAATTCAGAATATTCAGTTGCATGGTGCCCATTCACCTTAACTAATTGTCTTTTGCAGCACCAAAATTTACAACTACATTGTGATTTAGTCATGTTTACTGCCTTGTATTCTGACACAATACACATGAAATGTATTTTTTTTCATTTATTAAATTTCTATTCTATTCCCAGTGGAGCACAGGGTGGTACACATCAAAACAGAAAAACAATTTAAAGCATCTGAAAGCAAACAAACTACACACACACCTTCTTACTCATGTGCAAGTAGCATAGCATAAGAGGGAAGAGCTGGGGCATTTGAAAAAGCCGCAAGACTCAAATATTACTTTTTTAATCCATTTCATAATTTGTAGCTGCCAGCTTGCTGAAGTTCTTTAGGCAGCACCCAAACTAGAGAAAATATATTTCTTTTCAGAAGGAAAAAGGTAGTTACTCCAAACCTGCAGCACCACCTGCATCATCTCTAACATGATGCAACTGATGGACCTCCCTGTAGCCACTAAATATAATGCAGCGCTATAAAGAACTAGAAACCACTGCAGTGGCTGGGGCATTTTCAGTCAAGTGCTAATATCTATGCTGTCAAAACAGTAGGCAACTGCAGTTTATTGCTTATAGGTCACAAAGTTAACTTTAGGAAAAACAAACTCAACACTTATGATTTGTACGAACTTTGAACCAGACCTGCTAAATTCAGGATGTCCCATGTAGTCCCCCGGGGAAAGAACTTTTTCATGTTTATGGCCCACTGGTAATCACTCCACCGCTCCTTCCAAGCCTGGAGGATGGCCTGTTTGAGGTTGACCACTTTCATCATCTTCCTGTCCTAAAGGAAACAGAAAAACATGACACAGCAACTCTGCCATATATCCCTGTTGAGTTTCCAGCACTCCAGTTATTATTAAACAACCCTATAACATTTTCCAGTGTGCACAGAGTAACCCCTACATCCTTTAGGCTAAGAAAACCCTTTCTCGGTGCCTTCCATGTACTTCCTGTACACAAAGATTTGAACCTGTGTTTCCCAAGCCCATACTCTTATCCCTCCCACCTCCTATATGCCATATACAGGCCCCATTTTGCTTAGACATTTGGCTTATAACAAGCTGTTTCCCTCAAAGAACAGTACTTGACATTCAAATGTGAGAGGCAGCCAGATCCTGTCCTCTATTTCCACTTCCAAAAAATACATTTGAAAAGCAGGTAGTGCCATACAGTGCTAGGTGAGTTAGGGAAGGAAGAATTCACAATCATTCATATAGCTTGTGCACATACATAAGCATGTCCAGGTTTTAGATAGGTCGTTATTCTACAGGAGCACGTCTGACCAGCCCACTGGTTTTAAACAATGCAATCCTATACATGTTTTTAATCAGGATGTAAGTCCCTCTGTGTTCAAAAGAACCAATTCTCTAATTATGTTTATGACTGCAGCCTGAGTGACTATGTCAGGCATCCCATTTAATTACTGATGACCAAAGGCATAAATTCCTTTGCTTAAAATATAGCACAATTTTGCAATTTAATGTTGCAAATGATCAAAAACAAGTCTCTGAACCTTGCTTCATATGTTGCATGCCTATACAAATGCAGCAAAATGAAATGGCACTGGTAGGTCTTGCAAATTGGGTAGAAAAAGTGGGAAACCTGAATTCCTGGTTTATACTCCCAGGCCTAGGGAGGAAATCATTTTCGCATGTCAAATTCTAATGCTTTTGTCTAAGAAACAGAAGGGCTGAGCTACAGAAAGCAGAAGATATTTGGTAAATCCCACCATTCTATCTGGTTTGCCTGACCCAGAACCAAAATTAAATGAATGAGATCAGCAGGACAGGTAGACCACATTTGCACATCACTCTAATTCATCCCCCATTTGCTGCAGGTAGGAGAGAGAAGGATCAGGCCCAGATCAGGTCACCCTACCCCTGTGGCATACATTCTGTTAAGCTCATCTCAAGAAGGATATGTAGCTGTAAAAGGTGCAGGAAGAGGCAACCCAAATGATCAAGTGGTTAGAGTACCTTTCCCAGGAGGAAGGAATAAATCACTTGGGTGGGTTTTTTTTAGGAAAGAAAGAAAATGAAGAGTGGACATGATGTGGAGAAAATGGCGACCCATAGTACTAGAACATAGTCACACAACGAACTTGATTTGTAGATGATTCTTGTCAGACTCAAGTCCTTCATCACCACAATGTATAATTTATTTATTCTTGCTGTCAGAAGATGTGGTGATAGTTTTAAAAAGGGATTAGGCAAATTTAAGGAGGAAAAAATATATGAATGCCTATTAGCCATGATGCCTATATGGAGCTTCCATATTCTTGCTGTAAACCACTGAATACCAGTTGGAAGGTGGTAACAGCTGGGAAGGGCCCCTATCTTCAAACTAAGTTTGCAGGCATCCTAGAAGCGTCTACTGGCCACTGTGGGAAAGCAGATGCTGAATTAGATGGACCTTTCATCTGATCCAGCAGGCCCCTTCTTACGCCTCTTTTGGGAAAATCTCAGTTTACTAGTAAACCAGCAGTGATGGCTGGTCCTATGTTTACAAGACCAGCAGAGCAAGCACACCTATGCAGATTCTCACACACAGAACAGGTAAGAAGCAGGCATTCACGCCAGCTTACATCTGCTCAGAAAAAAGGGCTTTTTCACAAGCCAGTATTTGCTGTTAAATATACACTCACCGAGCCATTACTAACCATCGCTCCTGAATCAGCATATGTTTATGAGACACGTTTTAGGCTATAAGCTCCTCAGCGAAGAAACCTGCCCTCTTTAAAGCACAATGAACACTGGATGGTGCACTCTGAAGTTACAACAACATATCATAGTCCCCACTTTACAGTTGTACTTGTAAAACATGTTGAGAATCCATTCCTGTGCATCATGCTTACTTGGAAGTTCCACTGAGTCTAACAGTGTCAACCTTAGGCTACATTACAAAAAAAAGAGTAATCCATGAAGTGGTTGTTAACCAACGCATGAGACAAGTAAAATGATATGAAATATCTTCATTTCACATTTGAATAACTACATCCAGCTACTCCTCATCTATTAGGGAGGTCTGAGAACCCAGGTCAAAGACACTAGTCCTTAAAAAAAACTCCTAGGGAAATAATGTAGACTAGAAAAGAGATTGGGAGAAGGCAGATCATAGTGAACCGCTAGCTAATTTATGTTGGACCACCTGGCACTTGCTAAGATTCTGAGTTATTGGGGTCTGTAACTTGAAGCGTCTGTAACCCAAGGTACCACTGTAAATAAATGATGCTGAACCTTGCTCTAAGGCAGCAAGACGCTTTTCATACTTTGAAACAAGAACAAGTACTCAAGATCACACACCATTTAGGCCTGATTTGGAGATCCTGAGTGTATACTCTTAGGTTGCAATGTTAAACATGCTTACCTGGGAGTAAATCCCGTTAAATTCAGAGAGACTTTATTCCATATGCACACATATGGGATTCCCTGTTAAATTCTGAACACATCGGACCTGGTGCATTCATTCAACAAAGAGAGAGATCGCGAAAAGCTGAAGATAGTTTGCACCGGAATTAAAACAAAGGTGGGAGACTGGGGTGCCCGGGTTCTATAACTAGCTCTGGCAAGGAGAACTGGTTGGCCAGAGCAGGATTTGGCCGCTAAAAGGGAAGAATGCGCTGCCAACACTTACCGATCTCCTTTCCTGTACAAAAGAAACACAATTGTCTTAGTTCCTGGGCTCCGCCATCTTTGCACCTAACAAAGAACCTTTCCCGGATTGGCTGGGATCCACCCCTAAGCCGCACGGGCTTCTGGGAAGTGTAGTTTTTAGGCTGCGAGACTGAGCATGCTTACAAAGGCGAAAAGGCTGTTGAACAGACCTTGTTAATGGGTTTACTTTAGCGTGATTATTTAGGAGCCTGGGCTATAATTTCCGTATAATCTGTAAATCAACACTGCATAGCAACAAATGAGGACCAGTGGATTTTCAGTTATGTTTTCCCTCTTAATATCAGGATTTTTTTTTCTTTATTTAATGTCTTTCATTAGCCAGTTGAAACTTACGAGCTGAAGTGCAAATGCTATAAAAGCTAAATTTCTGGTTGTTATCATGAGCATGTAATCCTCTACATGAGAGAGTGCTGCCAGGGAGGAAGGCGTTGTTTGCCTCAAGTCTCTGGCAAGTGAAGCCTCCATTTAACTATTATGACTAATAGCCATTGACAGAATAGTTCAAGTCTACAGCTTGATAAGCAGGCATTGGAAGTTGATCAAGCTTATCTCTGTTGCCATCAAGCCGACTGAAAAACAGTCTAGGCTGCTTTTTCCTGGTCAGTTGGCAACCTGAAAAGCTCCTGTACACCACTTTGGGTTCTAGGATAGAATAAAGGCAGGATATAAATTCAAAACAGCAACAGTGCACATTAAAATATTTTAACGGTCATATTTATGAATATGTATTTTAATATGTGGTTGGAAGCCACCCAGAGTGGCTGGGGAAGCCCAGTCATATGGGCAGGGTATAAATAATAAATTATTATTATTATTAAGTCCAAGAGTATATTTCATTCAAAAATAACTTGCTACAATTATCTGAGAGAGGCACTGTACTATTAGAATAGTACTAATCTTTCTTCCCCTAAAAGTACGACAGAACCATACATTCAGCCGAACAGAATACGCCATAATTTTTTACACAGAGGCGGCTGATCGCAAGGTGGCAAAGCATTGGCTGCAAATATAATTAACAATAAATTGTTTATATGGAGTCATCCATTGAAAGAATGAGTGGACAGATCACTGCCCCAGGAGGTCTACAATCTAGAAAATAACCCAAAGGAGACAAGAGAGGAAGGGGGTGGAAAATGGAGGTAGGGGGATTAAGGGAAAGAATATGCAATTACTGTGGTTGCATGCACTTAGACTTAGCTGTAGTAGGATGTGGGGACTAGGTCTAGGGCTTTGCATCAAGGAAGCCACAGGAAAATGGAACATGCAGAGGAGAAATTAATCATGGCAGGGCAGGCAGCTTCTCTTTACTAACACCTAGTACTTTTTATTTGTGTTTGCATTTTCAATCGGTAATATCAAGCTACTCATCAAAACATCCAGCATGCATCGAAAACACCAGTAAATTGCAGTTGTAGGCTGTGTACACACTATACTTTCAAAGCACATTCTTTCCTTCAAAGAATTATGGACAGTGCAGTTTATCCTTCACAGTTCCCAGCAAAGCCTTATAATGAGAACCTTCTCCTCCATCCAGCAATCTGATTCAAAGAGCATCTCTCTTCATTCCTACCTTCCAAGAAAGCCACATTTTCCCCATCCCAGGTATCACAACCTCTGACTATTGCAGCATCCATTTCTGTCACATGCTGCTCCATTTGCAACAGAGGACTCTACAGTGTTCGCCATCTGCCTGGAAGAATCAGGCAGTGATGTGGAAAGGGACCTGAGGAGGTGGAGAGATTGATTCACCAGCAGCGTGTGATCCTGCTGAGCTGTCAGCTTTTTACCCAGGGAATGGATGTTGTCACAGATGTGACCTGGACTTTCTCAGAATACCAGCAACCTGCTGGAATATGCTCTAATCTTATAATTAAGAGGTTACCTATATCAATTCCACTGCCCTGAAACGAAAGGTGGTGTATAATAAGTCTTAATTTTGTGGGGCAGCAGATCTTAGCCGTTCATATGTTTATGAATTAATCTAAGTGGCAGAGAGCGGGTGGCGCTGTGGTCTAAACCACTGAGCCTCTTGGGCCTGCTGATTGGAAGGTTGGTGGTTCAAATCTGCATCACAGGGTGAGCTCCCGTTGCTCTGTCCCAGCTTCTCCCAACCTAGCAGTTTGAAAGCACACCAGTGCAAGAAGATAAGTAGGTACCACTGCGGTGGGAAGGGAAACAGTGTTTCCGTGTGCTCTGGCTTCCGTCACAGTGTTCTGTTGCTCCAAAACTGGTTTAGTCATGCTGGCCACATGACCCGGAAAGCTGTCTGTGGACAAACGCCAGCTCCCTCAGCTTGAAGCGAGATGAGCCCCACACGCCATAGTCGCCTCTGACTGGACTTAACTGCCCATGGGGTCCTTTACCTTTTTTACCTTATGGCTCTAAGTGCTGGTTTTTAAAACCTTCCTTGTGGTACAGAATACACTCAGCCTTGCCAAAAGCCAATACCAGCCCCACACCAGTCTCCATTTCTCAATAGTTGCAACACCTTTTCCCCAATACGTATTTTTTTAAAAGGTGCTGCTTGATGAGGGCTTAATTAGCAGATGGTTAATTGAGATACCACAAAACAGTTGTTTGTAATAGGCAGTGCTATTTTTCTAGAAAAAGAGGTGCTGGAACTCACCATGAACTCCCTTGTTCTCTTAGAATGGCAATGGTACCCGCCTGAGAGATGCCAGAACTGAGTTCCAGCAAGTTCCAGCTGAAAAAAGACCTAGGGACAGGCTTTTGTTTAAGTTTCACCTTAAGGGGTGAATCCAGATTAAATGGATGACTCCCCGCAAATAATACTGGGAACTGTAGTTTACCCCTCCCAGAGCTACAATTCCCAGCATTCTTAACAAACGACACTTCCCAGGATTCTTTGGGGGAAGTCATGTGGATTCTGCAAAAAATAATAATTACCAGTACAGCGGTACCTCGCGTTAAGAACTGAATTCGTTCTGGAGGTCCATTCTTAACCTGAAACTGTTCTTAACCTGAAGCACCACTTTAGCTAATGGGGCCTCCTGCTGCCGCCGCACCACTGCTGCGCGATTTCTGTTCTCATCCTGAAGCAAAGTTCTTAACCCGAGGTACTATTTCTGGGTTAGCGGAGTCTGTAACCTGTAGCGTCTGTAACCCGAGTGTCAGGGCTGCCTCAGGTCTCAGCTCACAAAGGACCAACGCCAAGTTCTTCTTATATACAAAGGTGTTTATTGGAGTTCATTGTTTGCTTCACATCCGAGGCGCGCAGCCCCACGTCTGTTACGCTTAGACCGTTGAAGTCCCCTCTGAGTCAGTCCCTCCCCTGCACCAGTTTAAGAGGCTTGCGCTGCTCCACCTCTTCCTCTCTTTCCTTTTCCGCAGGGTCTTCCTGCCCGCTGGGGTTTCGCCCCTCCTGGATTCCCCTGACGCGGAATCCCCCGATTGCTCTTCCCCCCTCCTGCGGGCTTTGGGACCTGGCTCCTCCTCCGGGCTCCCTGTTCTTCCGCGCGCCTCCACATTTGAACTTGGCGCGCGCGCCCAACCTCTAACCTTCCTTTTGACAGTTACACTACTCCCTTCACTACTCCCCTTCCCTTCCGGGAGGGTGGCTTGCTCCGACCTCCCTCCCTTCTCTGCTGCCGGAGCTGCTTCCCCTGATACACTGGAACCTCCACCCCCTTCGCTGCACTCTGGCGGGGAGGCTGGTCCTGACGCCCAGCTGCCACTTTGGGATCCCCGCTGGCCCCCTGCTCCTGACACGTCCCCCTGGGGCTCCCTGGCCTTGACCACCGGCGCCCCCTTCTGGGAATCCTCTGATTCGCTGGAAAGACTCATGGAATCTCTTGAGTCATTGTCATCCTCTTCCTCGCTGTCCTGGGATTCATCCCCATCGCTCTCCATCTCCTGCCTACCCTGTGCCTCTGTCCCTGAACCCCTGACACCGAGGTACCACTGTCCATGCACGTGGAGCACCAGTTCCACAATAAACACCCATCGGAAGGACCCAGCGCTGTCAATGAAACAGGTAACTCACATCCAGTGTGGGTTTGGGCCTAGTTTTAGAACTGAAACTGCATTTGTCACCCAGGTAGATGGTAACAGGCTAGATGTTGGCCAAAAACAAACTTGGCCCCAACAAGATGGAAGTTCTGAGGTTGGATGGGTTACATGTTTGAAAATAGGTCTTCATCCAGTATTAGATGGGGTTGCACGGCCTCTGAAGGATCAGGTTAGTAGTTTGGGAGGTGATTTTTGATTTATGCTAGCTTTGTCACGAGATACCTAAATGACCTCAGTACATTTCACCATTTTGGCTTGATGTTCTAACTGCAACCTCTTCCAAGAGACAGAGTGAGGTGTTTGTCACAGACAGCTGACTTTGCTTGTCATGAAAGGGCAGCAATTTGAGAAGTATTTGATGTTTTATTGTGTTTTTAATATTCTGTTGGGATCCGCCCAGAGTGGCTGGGGCAACCCAGTCAGATGGGCAGCATACAAATAATACTAATACTAATAATATGATATTGACAAGCTGGAACGTGTGGAGAGGGGGGGAACCAAGATGATCATGGGCCTGGAAACCAAGCCTTATGAGGAATGGTTGAGGGAGTTGTAATGTTTTGCTTAGGGAAGAGGAGACTGAGAGGATATATGATAGCCATCTTCCACTATCTAAAGGGCTGTCATATGGAAGATGGAGCAAGCTTGTTTTCTTCTGCTCTGGAGGGTAGGACCCATACCAATGCATTCAAGTTATAAGAAAGGAGATTCCGACTAAACATCAGGAAGAACTTTCTGATGGGAAGAGCTGCTTGACAGTGGAATGGACTCCCTCGGGAGGTGGAGGACTCTCCTTCCTTGGAGGTTTTTCAGCAGAGACTGGATGGCTGTCTGGCACAGATGCTTTAGTTGAGATCTGTGCACTGCAGGGGGTTGGACTAGAATCAGGCATGGCCAAACTTGGCCCTCCAGCTGTTTTGGGACTACAATTCCCATCATCCCTGACCACTGGTCCTGTTAGCTAGGGATGATGGGAGTTGTAGTCCCAAAACATCTGAAGGGCCAAGTTTGGACATGCCTGGTCACTAGATGATCCTCAGAGTTGCTACTCTACAATTCAGTTTACAGTGGTACCTCAGGTTAAGATCTTAATTTGTTCTGGAGGTCTGTTCTTAACCTGAAACTGTTCTTAACCTGAGGTACTACTTTAGCTAATGGGGCCTCCCGCTGCCGCTGCGCCACCGCCATGCGATTTCTGTTCTCATCCTGAAGCAAAGTTCTTAACCCGAGGTACTATTTCTGGGTTAGTGGAGTCTGTAACCTGAAGCGTCTGTAACCTGAAGCGTCTATAACCTGAGGTACCACTGTATTTTACTCCTAGGGAGAGATGCCTGGGGGATTTTCTCCCTCAGATACCAAAACAACTTACTGGAAACCTATCCCATAAGTGTTGCTAGCTTTGCTAGGACCCTATACAGTTGGCTGATTTGGTGATGGATAGCTTTAACTGAAGATTCAGGAAGGTAGCTGTGTTGGTCTGACGCAGTTGAAATATATAAAAAAATATATATAAAAAAATAAAAAATTGTCCAGTAGCACCTTAGAGACCAACTAAGTTTGTTCTTGGTATAAGCTTTCGTGTGCATGCACACTTCTTCAGATACACTACAGTGTACTAAGAACAAACTTAGTTGGTCTCTAAGATGCTACTGGACAATTTTTTATATATATTTTAACTAAAAACGGTAAACTTTAATTGGCAGGTAATGGCCAAGCTTAATTTTCTTATGCTGGCTCAGATATAGTACTGTAATATAAAATTAATATGTTCTTTGAGTGGTAGCCCTTGTTTATTAAATTGTTAAGTCATGTTTTGCTTGCGTCAATCTCTCTGAAAGGCACCGTTGCGTAAATTGTGTCGGTATGCAAATCAATTAATTGATTACATTTTTAAAAAGTGAATTTAATCCACTAATTTTGTTAATAAGTTGACAGCCCTAGATAATGGATCTTTACCCACGTCTAGAACGTGGGCTGAGATCCAATTATCCCATTTGCTCAGGCTGGCTTCCGATGATTTCCCTCCAACATATTCCGCTCCCCCCCCCCCCATTCCCACAGCCCCAAATTACAATCTATATTCTAAACAGCTGGGCATTTCTAAAGCACATTCTGCAGATTTAGAGCACAAATTAGAGGGAGAAAACAAAATCTGATATACCCCCCTCCTTTCCTTTTTTTTTCAGATGAAGCTGCAGGGAAAATGTGTAAAATGTTTACTCAGTTGCAACATCATGTTGGGAATAAAAATAATACTAAAAAATGGAAGAAAGGGGGAGGCCTTGTTAGGTCTCCAGTAAAGCTGTAGGAGGTCTTCTGTTCTTAATAGAACAAGGATGGAACAGATATTGTCCTATGAATGAAAAAGTTATGCCAAGGATAATTGGGGGGTGGGGTGGGGAGAATAACTGGATGATATGAAGGACAAGGAGGGGCTTGCATCATGGCATAATACTGCACATTAAACAGAAGACTTTATTTATTATCACTGCAGAATTTTTCCACGGCAAAGCTACATCTGAGTCTGGGAATGGGCTGCAGAATCTGTTTTTCTGTGACATGTTTTCAGCATTGGAACATGTGAAACATTAATAAGGCACACAAAGGAGGGGGCAGAGCTTAGCAGTACAGCGTATACCAGGGGTAGGCAAACTATGGTCCGTGGGCCGGATCTGGTCCAATTGCCCTCTGGATCCAGCCTGCAAACGGTTCTGCAATCACCACTTGGATTAGTGTGATCGCCATTTTTTTCGGGTGCCATTTGCAATTCACCCCCCTCACTGTGGCGGCGCCTCCTCCCTTCTCCCTCCCTCCCTCTTCCTGGCTTCTCCTCACTCTGCGGAGGAAGGGGGCTGGGCTTTGATAGAAATCCTCACTGCCTGCCCACTGGCCTCTCCCCATGGCCATGCTGTGGGCTGGAGCTTGGCGCACCTGCTGGCCCTGTGCCTGGCGCCTGGGAAAGCTGTCCCGAAAAGGAGAGGCGCCGCCACCGCTGCCGGCTCCTAACCACAGGCAGAGTGGTGGAGGAGGTAGACAGAGGAGGGCACTGGCTTGGGGGGGAGAGAGAAGCCCCCTCCGCCGTGTGCGCGCAGTCTGGCCCACCACTAGATCTGGGGGACAGTGAACCGGCCCCCTCCAAAAAAAAAGTTTTCTGACCCCTGGTGTATACTCTGCATGCATCAAAGTTGTGGGTTCAATCCCTGGTATCTCCAATCTGAAAAGTTAACAGCTGGAAGAACTGGGAACTACTTTTACCTGAGGCCTTGGGAAGCATCTACCACTCAATAGGCAATACTGGACTAAATAGCAGACCTCCAAGTGCCCCTATTTTCCAGGGACAGTCCCAGATTTACAGAAGCCATCCCGGCTTCTGATTTGATCCCGGAATGTCCTGCTTTTCCTTAGGACGTCCCTATTTTCATCAGACAAATATTGCAGGGTATGGAGTTATGCAACCCGTTAGCCAAGGGGGTAAGTATACAACCTTTAGAAGACATCTGAAGGCAAAACTTTGCCAGGAAGAAATTCAGCAGGACAAGCTTTTCCCCACATTTCCATAACTGCTGAATTTCTGGCTGCTGTGCTGCTGTTAAAAGGCACAGCAAGCTTGCCAGGAGCGAAACCGACAATGACATTCCACACCCATTCACAAAAAAAGTGTGGGGAAAACACAAGCTTTGCTCCAGGTGAGCAATTGAATCCAGGCCAGGAATTGCTTGAGGCCTTACCTGAACAGGTATGGGGGGGGACCTCATCAACAGGAATGTGAGCCAAAGGGACCCCACCCACATGCCTTGAGGCCTGATATCCTTCATTTTATTGGAAAGGAGCCAGAGAACTTGGACTGGACAGGGTGGGAGGTTGATGGCAGCGAGAAAGATATGGGGCAGGGTGCAAAGGGCTTTCTAGCAATTATAAAAGCTGTGCTCGAGATAGCTCTGCACGCTTCTGAAATCAGTCCTGGCAGCAGCATCTGAGGCTGGGAGTCATAATGTTGCAGTGCGATTCCCCCACCCCTTCTGCTATGCCTCAAGTCGCTCTCTGTTTCTTTGAACTATCATTATTAATAACTAACAGAATGCCCATAATTATGGCAAACTCTCTCTGTGTGTGTTCGTGCGTGTGCATGTTTGGAGGGAGGGTTCATGCCTTGCAAGGCTGTCTGGTGGGTGGTTACTTGTCTTTGAGGACCTAGTCACCCACTCTCAGGAACGGTGAGCAGGTTTTTAGTCCGTTTTTGTAAAGCCCCCCCCCCCCTTAAGGACCAAAGCGTTTCAAGGGCTGCAGCCGGCCCTTAGACGAGGGGGTGGCCTGTCCTGTTTTGAGGCCTGAGACAAAATGGAAAGCTGCTGCCTTGTGCATGGGCCTCATGCCCCTTCCTGCCCTCACCAAGGCTTTGCTTTCTGGGGCTGCATGGTTGTGGCTTCTGGGCTCTGTTGAGATTTTGCATGAGGTCTGTGAGATTGCACAGAGGCCTCACACGACCTTCCTGAGACCCCTGGCGCATCGCTTATCGGGGTTTTGGGAAGGTTGTATCAGGCCTACGGGCAACCTCGCAAGATCTCGCCAAAATGTGGAAGCCACCAGAGCCGCCTCTCCTCACTTCTCTGGTGCCCACAGAGGCTGAGGCGGCTGTCTCAATGTGCCTCATGGACAGGTCAGTCGTGCCTTGGGCTGCCTGCTGGCCTGCTCTGCTACACAACCATGTGCAATAATACCAAATAAGGGTATATGTCCCTGTGTGTGTGCTGCCTCATTCCTAAACTAGAGGCCTTGTATGAGGAGTCACTCACTAGCAATCCCCTCAGCCCTTAGCTGATGTTCATCTTGCTCCCTTAGCCGCAAGTAACCAACCTAGTGATGGTTTGGTCCCCTAAAGGCTGCTGGTTATTGTTTGGACTGCGAATCGGGCTGCCTGCCCCTGGCTCTGGATGCACAGCTGGTAGTGAAGGACACCACGTCCTTCCTTCCTTCCCTCTCAGGCAGCAGCCCAAGCAGTGCCTGCTGTGCCAGCTAAAGGGGAAACAATGAAGGGTTTTGACACAGGAGATGGGTGTGTTGCAGCACCGAGAGCCTAACACACACGGTAAAAGTTTAGCCTCTGTGATTCCAAGCGAATGGAGAATGGTAGGGCGAGGTTTACAAGAGGCCTTTGTTATTTGACATAAATCCCTTCCCCTCATCTCCTTCATATATATATATATATATATATATATATATATATATATATATATGGGATTTAACTGTGCAGATGGCAAGAATACGACATCATATATTCTAACGGTCGAATCAGGATTTCCTGGTGCGGAAATCTGGGTCCTTTTGGTGCAGAATACAAGACACTTTAGGGACGCGGGTGGCGCTGTGGGTAAAACCTCAGCGCCTAGGGCTTGCAGATCGCATGGTCAGCGGTTCAAATCCCCGCGGCGGGGTGAGCTCCCGTCTTTCGGTCCCAGCTCCTGCCTACCTAGCAGTTCGAAAGCACCCCTAAGTGCAAGTAGATAAATAGGTACCGCTTTATAGCGGGAAGGTAAACGGCGTTTCCGTGTGCTGCGCTGGTGCTGGCTCGCCAGAGCAGCTTCGTCACGCTGGCCACGTGACCCGGAAGTGTCTCCGGACAGCGCTGGCGCCCGGCCTCTTAAGTGAGATGGGCGCACAACCCTAGAGTTGGACACGACTGGCCCGTACGGGCAGGGGTACCTTTAGCTTACAAGACACTTTGGGCAAAAGTGCTGGAATAATATTTTCAAATTCTTGGGCAGCTCTGCACAGAGATTTCATACATGCATTCTTTGGATGGCAACACCAAATGTTTTAAGAATCTGGACAAATGGGCATCTGAGTATTTTTCAGGCCTGCTTGTCTTTATTTCTCTCATTCAAGGTGAGTGAGTGAGTGATGCAGGCGCATTTGTGGTCTGTTTGTGTGCAGTGTTCACGAGAGAGGGATGATGGTGTAGCCAGTTCATTGTTTCTTGTACTGGGAAATGCTCCCTATTGTTATTAGCAACAGCATGTGTGTGTGTGTGTGTGTGTGTGTGAGAGAGAGAGAGAGAGAGAGAGAGAGAGAGAGAGAGATCAGTATTGTATCTCCAGAAACAGGACCAGCGGGACATGGCTGACTTCCCTCAGGAAGCCTGAGGTTGTCCAGGTTGCATGGAGCAGCAATGACTGTACTCTCTCTAATTCTGTGTCATGCCATTCTCCCACAGCAGCCATTTTTTGACTGGTGCCCACAGCACTTTCTCAGAATTAAAATGCACCCACTGGTCCTAAAAGGTTGTTGACCACTGGCATAAGTGGGTATGAGTTCTCCTCGGAGGACAAGCCATATGTGAAGGTCTCACACTTCATAACATCCAAGCAGGAGATCCCTTCTGCTGTTAAGTGTGTACCACCACTCAAGTTGTTACTGCCATCCTGGCATGATCCCTCCCTGTCTCGCTCCATTGCTGATGCTCAGGAGACCAGCGGGCGGGAATGATTTCTCTTGAGGGAAGAGCAGGCCTCTTATTGTGTGGTGCTTCAGAGAGCAGGCCTAAGTTACAGGAGGGCACTTTTTGGTTGAAAATTAAGAGAAGTCTCTGGCTGGTAACAGCAGTTAGACAATGGAACCAACTGGCTTGTGAAGCTGGGCTACTTTGCAGACAGGCTACTTTTGGATA